GAACTCACTGGAGTCTTGCTCTTTCCTTTATCCCAGGGTTCCCCAACCTTGGCAACTTTAAGATGGGTGGACTTCAACTCCCAGAATTCCCCAGCCAGCCTTTAGAACTCACTGGAGTCTTAGGAGCAGCATGGCTCATAGGTTAATAGAACCCTTTAGTTTCTAAAATGTTATTTGTATTTACTTTATACTGCTCTGCCTACCATAATAGGAGTCAGCAATCTTTTCCTGCCCAAGAGCCACACTTAACACTTTGGGAGGCTGAGGTCAACGTATGGGTCGGGCCATATCACAGGTGGAGAGAGCTTAGTTTAATTGGTTATAGTCATAGAGCAATTCAAAATAAATTCAAAATTAAAACACACAATTCCCAATAGTTAGTGAAAATGAACAATAGTATACAGACCTACAAAACCTACGTATGGCTGACTAGTTAAATACTGCTTATTGATATGTTATGACAAATACTACAGGCAACAAAACAGCTGCATTCATTGAGACAGAATCCAATTGGTCAGACAATAGTAGGTGAAGATAAAATGAATCTGGGCCAAAGGACATTTATCTAAGGTGGGGAATAACAGCTCCTGGCATGAAATAGCAAAATAGGAACAGTACAACGTGGCTCAATGTCTTGTTTCTGTGCCGCAGGGCATAGTTTTTGCTCAGATGGAATATTGACAGGGCTTATTTTTTTAAGAGTTTGGGAATTTTGTTTTTTTAACTGTAATGTCTGTTTTAAAGCTTACACTATAGTTTCCATCTATTTCCTATCTTAGGATGGGAATAAATTGTGTCATACTTTTCAGCAATAATGTGAGGGGGCTTTGAGATCTACAAAAAAGGCCCCCAGTTGCCCACCTGTGTTTTAAATTATAAAGATATTTCCATATTTAAATATTTTTCTATTACAGAATCTCATAGGAAATTCATCCCAAGATTATTGGATCAATTGAACCATGAAAGTCATTGATAGTTTTGTTCTGTAAAGTTGTGGTTAGACTACCTGAGGTAAGAATTGTGAATAACACAACAGAATACTTTTCCTTGGCAAAGTTAACTTAGATCCAGTCAGGTTTTTTTTTAAAGATTATTATGATAAAACCAAATATTGTCACTTTAAAATTGTGTAAGCTTAGTAGAGGTAAACGGTAGACTGTTATCTCCAGAAACTTATTTGTTTAATCTAGCCTTCTCCAACCTGATGCCTTCTATATGTTTTGGACTTAAATCCCCATAATTCCCACTTTGGATTATGTGAGCTGAAATTTAAAACTTCTGGAGGGGAGAAAAACTGTTCTGGTTCACCAAATCACATTTACACACATGTATATAGTAAAGTGCTATCTCCCTGCCTCTGGTAAATAAATAAATAATTTTAAAACCCCATTTTCTTTGGGCTTTTTAGAATAGCCTCTCGATTGAATGGAACTTAAAGGGGATTGAAATGAAACATGTGCATTCAAAATTTGCATTTCTATCAACTTTGCCTAACATGCAATTTGCAACGCAGGAAACTTCAGAGCTTTCTGTAATGCCTCAGGGCTAAAAACCAATCTGACCCAGTTCAGACAAATCATATCAAGATACTTTGGGCATTATACCTCTACACATTTGTTTTAGCACAGCTGCAAATCAGGATGAGAAACACCATTGGCATTTTTTTAAAAGAAGGACACATACCATCCTCATAAAAAGTCAATAGCATACAGTATATTTAAATGTGCTTGTAAATGTCTTCATGTGTACTCAGAGCATGACATGGTCTTGTTTTGTGTGAAGGCTTTCGACTGCTGTAGCAAAGACATTTTTAATATTGCAGTCTACTTCCTGCTTGCCTTTCTTAAATTATAGTAAGCAGATGAAGTGTGGTTGATTTGGTCCAACATATCATTCTTTCCTGTGATCCTCACTGAAATAGCCAACATCAAAACCACTTCAATCTATCTTTTGACCTGATCCTGTCTCAGAAATACTAGGTTGTTCAAGTGGATGGTTCTCATGCGCCTTTCAGAAGCCTTTGATATGACCAATGATGGTTTAACATATAATGCAGTATTAACTGTGGTTCTGCTTCTTTCCAGTCATTTGCAGAAAGCAGGCTAGGAAACCTCTGATCAAATCAAACCTCTGCTCTTAACTGTATCTGTCTATGGAGGCTTCCATTTTTTAGTATCTGTTTAACATTCCTGGAAGAGATTGAGATTTCAAACAATGTATCAAACAATAAAGCATCTGTATCTTCTGCATTACTCTGGTAAATGGCTGAATCAATAGTCTGATGACACTTAATTCTTATTTATCTTGTCATTTACATTAGGTAAGTGATAAGTATCAAACTGATATCTAAAGTTGTTAATGGGTTGGATGAGGACTAATACATTCTGGGTCTCTAGGTTGGTGGCCCCCTAGCTTCCATGATGATTAGGCTTCAGGTGATCAGGTGCATAGTTTGGAATATTTTTAGGTTCAACTTTCTCTTTAGAGATTACAGTTGATTTGGTAGTATGAAACACTTTTTACATTTCTGGATAGGAATAGTTTAACTATTTGGTGTAACTTCCCTCCCTACTATTGGCCTTTTTTTTTTTTCCTCTGAAAGGGGGAAAATTTGTGGTGGCATCCATTTTTCTACCCTGTCTTCTGATGTTTATGATTGGTGGGCATGGGGAGAACTGACACATTTACAGGGATATCCTCAAATTCTTGCCCAAAAGAGACTTAAGACGACATTCTTAGTTATCACTAAGGAGCCAGGTTAAGACCTTGTGGTTATGCATTACAATTCTTTTTGGTTGGTTGCTTTTAACTGATGCTATCGCTCTAAAAGCACAATAAAACAGTAGGCTTATAGTTTGTTAAATTGTTTTACAGCCTTTTGATATTATTGTAAACCACTTTGTAATCAAATTGTTGTCATGTCATATAAGTTCAACAAAATAGCCTATTGGGACAAAAAAGCTCTTGAAGGCTTCTAATTCCGAACTACTCTTAGAGGTGATTACTCATGTAGATCCAAACTACTGAAAGTTCTCATAAAAAGAAATAACGTATCCTCTTTGAGAAAAATCTGAGGTGTCATAGGATGTCAGGCCTTTTATTCCAGTGCAATTGAGTATGTTACATTTCATTCATCCATTTGGATTTAAAGCAGGACCCTGCTTCTGGTCACTGGGCCAATCTACATATCTACAGATTATTCCCAAAATAAAAAGTAGGTAGGTAGGTAGATTGAATAGCTGAAATTGAGTATCACCAAATCTTGCCAAAATGACATCGCACAATTTCTCAAGTGAGAAAGCCAAACTCTCAAAAGATTTGTGGCTCATATGATTTCTAAATAAAATGCCATCTCTTGATAATGCATATAACTGGGTATTGACTGGGTACTATGTATCCAAATAATGCATATTGACTTGATACTATCCACAATTTCCTGTTGATTCTTCCTGTATCTATACATTTTCAAATGTATATCAAATATGTAACATGCAGAGGGTCTTATCATCTGCATTCACTTCATATTAATGCATACAGACAGTGATTTGTTAAAAATATCTCATTCATTTTATTCCCTTGGCACTAATATTTACTAACATATACAATACATATATAGGCCTTATGATGCAAATTATTATTTCTGTGAGAGATGTGATGTAAAAACTTGGGTGCATGGGAGAAGCATTGTTTAATTAGAATCCTGAACAAAATTATTACTATTCCCTAATTATATCCCTTATTTTTACCTTCAGTTTTTTGTATGTCTGAAAAAGAGATAACCTTCTGTACTGGACAACTGCGATCAGGGTTGACTTTTTAAGGATACAATGTAAGTGGGATTCTCAATGCTCATTTTGCTATTAGGCAATGCTTTATTAAGGCTTTGGTTCCTGTTACTTGCTTCATTGCAAGATTCAGGTATTACAAAATCTAAAAATCTATAAACTCCTCTGCAGAAGAAACTTGGGTGACCATTACTATATTTGAGCTGAGGTGATATCTTGAATATACTAATTCAGTTCCATAAACAGGGATGGAATTTCTACGTATCTGATTTAGTATTTGTGATTGCAGAATCACTGGATTGCCAACTCTTCCGACCTGTTCTTCTAGTTTGGGAACTAAAGAGTTGCATATAGAAATTTCAGCTATAGAGGATAAAAAACAGACTGGTTTGCTTGACATTAATATGCTATGGCCAAGAGGTCAATCCAGGAATAAGAATTTCCATAGCAGTGTACTAACAGATAGGTTGTATCAAATGCTTTGTAGCTGTAAGGTTGAATACACACACACACACAACTGTTTAAACAAATGGAGAGAAAACCAGAATTGTGTCAAGATTACACAAAGAGCATAAGGCATCACACTGGTGCAAACTTCCAATTAAGTGGCTTGTTAAGACGCCATGTAGTTTTTAGTAACTTTGATATCATAGGTACCACTGGAATTTCTCAGTGTCTGAAAGTCTTCAGTTTCCACTATCAAATATAGGTAGAACTGTTCTAGGAAGAGACTCTTGAAATCTGCAAGTTAGGAGCTTTGTGCAAGCAAAGTACATCCAAGGCAACAAGAATACTGGGGGAATTTTGTGATTGTGATGGCAGATCCAATTCTAAGGCACCCCTTAGCAACTAGCTGTTGCAGAGCGTGTTAACTTAGCAGTCTAAGTGCACAAATGTAATATGTAATTTCTACACATTTTCCCTATGAAAATTACCATTTGGAATGGCATTATGTAGAACTGCTTTCTGATGCATCTTTTATACCACAGTCATGTTCCTGATCAAATACCCAATCTCAAACACACAGCTATATTTTGAATGCCTGCACAGATCTAAGATTGTGTACGTGTGATTCAAATGTGATTTGGAGTTTAAGAAAGTATGTTTAAAACAAGCATTTTAACAACATGATCTTGAAGGTATTCTTTTATCATTAAAGGGAATGCAAAGAAATAGTGCAAAGAAGCTCCCATAAGGACTTAAATTTAATTTTCTTTTATTCTAGGGCAAACTCAGAAAGTTTTATTATTTTTTTAGCAAATTCTATCATGTAAATGTTAACATAAAAACATCTGTACATTTGCCATGATACACTCAAAGTGAAACAAATAAGATATAAATACAAGATATGGATGTAACATGACAAAGCGCAAAAAAAAAAAAAGGAAAATAAAATAAAATAACCAACCCAAAATCAAAATTAAATACATGCGCATGAACACTGTGCCAAGAAACTTTTTCTGATGGCTGACTGTTTTGATAAGCTTTGCCAGCCCGTCCTTCCCATTTAAAACATTATTATTGTTAGCAAACTTTTTCTGCGTTCTACAAATATTTCTCTGTTGTCCTTTAATACGAACCATTACACTTGATAAATAAAGGGGCTGGGAGGGTGATAGAAAGAAGATTTATGTAACAATGTTGCAAGGTACATTACTTATACAGGTTACTGAGAGCTAACAGGAAGTGATAGAAAAGTCTTGTATTGTAATCCAGCAAGCACACGTAGTGTACCTTTTCAAAGAAAGCCACATGCCTCAGATAATTCAGCACTACATTAAGAGACGGACAGGATTTAGATGGTGAAAAGGGTTGCGCAGGGTCGTATACTCCCACCCTGGGTACACTGGTGCCCCATCAGAACAGAAGCATCCCCATCTAAGGCAACCCAATATCAGGCAGGTTGTTCTGTGCAAATTTTCAGATATAATGGCCTGAAAAGGGAAGGGACATGGGACAATGGAGAAGACCCCGAAGGAAATAACATCTTTTTTTCTCGAAAAGTTAAAGCCCTGTCTAAGAAGGCAGCAAGAGAAAAAGCAGCTGCACACATCTGGACCATGCTGGGGGAAGAGGGAGCCCTCTATTCTGGCTCTCTCTCTCTCTGTGCCAACAGCATGCAGATCTAACTCCATCAGCATGGATGGAATGGTAGCTAAAGAATCCTTCTGCCCAGAGCATTTAAATATGTCTTACATTCTCCAATTGTACAGCTTTAAAGAAGGCAAATTGTTGCAGATTAAGCTAGCCCTTTGAGCACTGCCAAAAAAAAAAAAAAAAAGGTAATGTCTGAAATTCTAAGATGGAAATAATTCGATAGATATGCTGGGCACACAAAAACTATTATAAATAATTCAGGCTGAATGGGAGCAGAAGGAGGCCATCCTGGAGTACTCAAAGGATGGACGACTCCTGATGAGTGAAGGTGAATGTTAAAAGAACAAGTGTCGCACTAAGGAACATTAGCTGACAAACAAAAGAAATCCTTTAGGAAGGAAGGAAGGAAGGAAGGCAGGCAGGCCTGGTTATCTGTGTTGCAGCTCCCAGGAAGCCAATCAGAGCTTTGGAAAGTACATGTTTCTCATGGAACATCGAAGCAGCAGTAGTAGAATGTCACACGTATCTCCCAGGAGACAGGTTTCTCTGACAGCAACATTAGGTCTTGACCAGTATACAGGCATTACAGTGCATCCAGTCTCAGTGCATACTAACAGATTTCTGTTGTTACAGAAGGAATACCGTAAATACTGTAACAAAACAGAGCTCCATTAAAACAAAGAAACAAACAGTAAAACTGTGTCAGGTAGGTTAGAACTGGGAATATTAAGAGCAATTTGCAATTTCAAACATTTTGAAAAATATGTTGAAATACACTGAGAAGAAATTGTAAACTGAGTTGTCTGTGCAGAGGCAGCTCTTGAATCAGTTCTACAAAACTAACCATATTGCCCTGTATAGATTGTACTGTTTTATATTTGCTCAGGGTTCCTTGAATTTTCATGACCTTTGCCACACAGATGATTAAAGTTAAAAAAAAAAAAAAACTAGTTGAAGGGCTTGATTTTATAGTCTGTATAGATTTTGTCTGAAAAAACGGCAGATCATTCCAACTTTTAAGCTCAGTTCTAAAACGATGCTTGACAATTGGGGAAACTAGAGTAACTAGTTAAAAGTATGACTATAATACAAATATAGTCTAATATAAATTCAAGCTCTCCATCAATATCAAAGAAATCTGTTTGATAAAACACCAACATGTTATATAGCTCTGGGACTACTTCAGATCTTAGTAGAGACAGTATGTAACTGCAATGTATTTAACCATAGTACACTATTGCCTTGTTTTTAATGAAAACTGCAATCCAGGCCTTGCTTCCCTTATATTCAATTCCAAGAATCTCCTACAATAAAAAGCTTTAAAAGGACTAAAAATACTGATTGCAATAAATATTTGCATGGCCTCCATCAGCGGATGGAGCGTGCTGATGAGGGAAGGGTTTCTGAGAGGCACAGTTGATTGTTTCTATGTCTACACATATGTCCAAAGGTCTCCATTAACTGTGTGTAGAAACATCTGAAGATGAGCTGCTGTTGCTGTTGGTAGTCTGGGCTCTCTTTATGTACAAATTCAAGAGCTTCATCTGAAAAAGGACAAAAAAAAGGAGCTTTCACACTTTTTAGTTATTTTCATCATTTCAGAGCAGGTCATTAAGAATTGTTATTTATTTTTATTATTTGTTTACTGCCATAATCAAGGGAACACTTACCGAAGTAGCTCTCCCCAAAAAGGGAACTTGTGTATTTTTCATGCAAGTAGAACAGTACCAGCATTATTCTGGTAGATGTAATCATTGTAAATTATTTTGCAATATTTTTATTGTAGAATTTTTTGTCATTACCATTAAGAAATCCATATATTAGATTCTACAGTTCACTTCTGAAGTTCAAAAATGGAAAGCTTGCCAGGGTGATGGAATTCAGATGTCTTCCACTACTGTTTGTTTATGATACTCCTCACACTAAGAAATGTGTAACTGATACTGCACTCCTTTTCCATAAGATTTCCCATCACAAATGTATTCTCAGATTCCAGCACTTCTATCCTGAGCAAGATGTTTCTACAGAATGAGCATCATAAGTAGATTCAGGGTCAGGCTCACATAATCAAATACAAAATGAAAGGGCTACCCTCAAATAACATGATAAGTTTTAGTTTAGCTTTTAATTACTTTGGGGTTCAGCAAGCTTAAGGCTCATGAGCATCACTGCAGCCACTCCTTCCCACCAAAGTTTACTTGCTAACATCCATGGAAACAAGGAGGCTGTTGGCATTCCTAGGGCATATATCTTCCAAGGAGCCTGATGCCCCTGCTAATTCTCAATTCTCCTTTCCATGTCTCCTGGCATACTGGGTACTGTCATTTGAATGTTCTAGGCACCGCAAAGGAATTTGGTCTATTATCTCTCTCTTGCTATCACTGCCATTGTTTTATAGGAGAATAAGGACGGGTGGTCTTCAAAGTTTGAAAGAAACCTTTGGGCCCCGCTCTCTTCTGCCATCAATGGAACCTTGTCAGTGCCCAAATTTCAAAATTGGCTCCAAAATAAATTGTTTTCCTTACCTATTATAAAACCAGTTAAAGATAATTTGCACACCACTAATCCTACATTCTTAATTTGTTAATCACTACATTTATTCATCTTTAATGTTATTTTCAGCTATTAGTATCACTGGATTCAAAATGAGTATCTTTAAATTCTTTCTTTGCAGAAAGAAAAAAAGCCCGCATTTTTTAAAGAAGAAGGTATGTTGCATTAAAGAGTACTGATGTACTCAGAGACCTTTCTCCTAATTTTAATTAAATGTCTGGAGCAAGAAAATTTGATTTCCCATATATTATTTTCTGGGTTAAAATATTCTAATCCTTCTGCATGGGTAATATTTCAGTGTGGGCTCATTTAAATAGCTATTATTTGGCTTCTTTGAAATCCTGGCAAGTGCTTGATTTTATTGGAAAACATGGGATGAAAAAAAGATAGATACTCTTAATCAACTAATTATTAACAACCTTTTAAAAATCTCTGAAAGACTACAAAATGAATATAATTTATAAAAAAACATCAACATGACAAAAAAAAATATAGCTAAAGCATTTGTTTTGTTCCATATTTGATTTGGATGCTTCAGCAGCCTCTGAAATTCTGTTTACTTTGAAGGGATTGGAAAAGGATTTTATAAACCCAAATATTATCAATATTTTTTTTAAAATATCAAAATAAATTTGGATAATATATTAGAAATTTGGAACAGAGAACTAAAATATCCTGTATTAAATAAACCAGTGGTCTCAGGTTTTAAGAAATGCCAAGTATGTTTCTTATGATTTAAAAACCAGGCTAGTTCAACGTACATTTTTTCCAGGTTTATTGGCAATTTGGTTCCCAAATTGTTTCTTGCTATTTTGTGTGTGTCACAGCTCTCTATGTGTAAATCTACTAAGAGTGTGACAAACTGAAGTCAGTTGTTTAATTGACTCAAAGATATATCTGTAAAGGAGATACTTTGCCATTCATAAAACTAACGATCATCTGAAGTCAGTGGCTGAGATTCACATTTCTCTCATGTGCTACCAACTGTCATCTTGGATGCGAGTTTCAAGACTTGCCCCCTTCATTCTGTGAATGTACTTTTATATAAACATGGTTACAAGTCCTCTTCATATCATGAAGGTTGGGTTGAATAGGATAGATTCTGTAGTTAAGCCACAGAAGCGGCGGTGCGCATACCTTGCTCCCAGTCAGCTGTGCAAGATGAGGCTTCAGTTCTTCACCAATCACTGAATAGATGGCCACCAGGCAAAATACACTGGCTTTGCGAACACTGCTTTCGGTGTTGTCATAACCCTAGATACAAGATATAAACTCCCATGAGAATCAAAAACACTTTTCTTCTTTTAGTTTTAGAAACTCAAAGGATGAATGAGATGGATACATGGCATTTTTTTCAAAACAGATTTATTAAATATAACCCCCCCCCCCAAGACTGCTACATCACTGTCCATCTCTGTGCCTTTTTAAAAAAAAGTATTAAAAATTTATTGCATCATTGCAAACAAAAAGACCCTACTTTACTACAGTGTAAAAGTAAGTGACAAGTGGTTTACTGACTCCATACATAAATATAGACTCAACATGTATATTTTTAATTAGCCACATCAATTGCATGGAGATAAATGATGTTTTCTGTTAATAATTGCCTCAGATGTCTAGAAAAACGCCATAGCAGTGAGCATCATACAAAGCTAACAGTCATATTGGTCTACAGGGGGATAAAATATCCAAAAAGCATAGCCAGTAACACCTGATTAGGACCAAAAGTCTGGGGACAAGAAGGGCTGAGGAGAAAAATATTTTCTTCAAAGTAATCTGATATCCAACACTTAGCACTAAGAATGCATTCAGTGGATAAGCTTTAACTTGAGATGAAATTTAAACTTGCAAATCTGATGGTTGAAATGTTTGCCCCACATTTTGGATTTTCATCGTTGCACCTCATCTCCTATTTGTGAAATCTTTTCTGATTGCACAATTTCTGGAGACCTTTTGGAAAAGAAATTTTTCTCACTTTTGGGTGAAGATATTTAAAGTGAAAAATGGGTTTGTTAGTGGAAAAAGGAGAAATGATGCTACCTGCCTAGTTGCTAACACTCAATTTCTGAGACATGATCTGGGGATGCTATGGGAGTTTGGTGACCACAAGCTGGTCTAACCCAATAAAATGTAGGTCCTAATGGGACATTGGGCAACAAAAGAACAGCTGCCCAATTAACTAACAAAGCCAGAATCTGCTTGGCCCCAACTTTATTTAGATTTAGAAAAGCCATTAAATCTGTCTGTTTCAGCAGACCTTGGGGGTAGGTACAGAGTGAACTGTTCTCCTGCAACTGGGATTGTTTATTTGATGGGTATTGTCTTGGTACATGATGATACAGATTTTTTATTATTATTATTATTATTGTTGTTGTTGTTGTTGTTTTGTTGTTGTTGTTATTCTGTATAGGGTGGGGGGGTGCCTTCTATTGTTTTAATCCTGTTTACATATTTTAAGTATATAAGCCACTCAGAGTCAGTACTGACTGGAGTGGCATAATGAGCTCAGTTAAGTAACTAACTAAAGTTTGCTAATAAAGCACAAAATTGGCTTTTCCAGAAATGCACAGAACAGATAGAAAAGTCCATGTACAAAACTGGGTCCTGAAGGGTTTTAGATTAAGCTGTTTATTTTTTTTTCCCATAATCACACTTTGGCCAGTAGTTGTAGCCTGTTACTTTCTAGCAGACAAGCAGATCATTCAGCTTTGTAAGGCAGCATTGTAGCTAATTAATTCCAGGAAGACCACATCAACCTTATGTGAGACATAGAAAGAATTCCTCTATTTGCAATTTTCAAAATTCAAGAACCAACTGTGATTTCTAAGTAATTCTACTGTAATATTATGCCCGTTTTTGTTTAGTGCAATAATAACAGTAGAATGGTCTGCCAAAGGGGAGAAAAAAATGGAGATTAAAGTAGTACTAAGACCAAATATTGAAGCATGATACTTAAGTTCTAACATTTCAGCCCTGTTCAAACAGATGCAGTTCCCATTCTTTTTCATTCTATTCCTCCAAAACAAAGTCAAAATCTGTGGCTTATAAGTGTATTGAGCCCCTACTGATCAGGTTTGTTTACTTTTTGTCTTTTAGCTTCTGGATTTTCATCTTCTTCCCCATCCTAGTTTTTTCAGGGGATCGATTTGACTATTATTCTGTTTGTATTTACTAGCTCAGATCACTATTAAGAGTGATCAAAATATAATTAAGTTGCACATGCTAATCATTAGATTTATGTCTGAAAGAAAGATGATTCAAAGTAGTTCTTTGGTTCAGTCCAAAACTCAGACCTAATTCAGCAGTATTTGGGAAAGAAATTTATGTGGAATCTTATTTGCAGTTAAATGATTAAATGATCCATTGCTTTGAATAGGCAACTGTTTCCACCTTATCATAGTTTGTTAGTCTGCCTTAGTTTTATACGAAAATGTAGGAACTATGGGATGGGAGGAGAAGAAATCACAACATGTAGGTCTTTTGCTTGTTATGCGGAGAGACTGCCCTCTCAAATAAAGTACAACATATAAACACACGCATAAGTACATCGTCCTTAATTTAGTTGTCTAGCTTCCTGCAGCCCTCTAGCCTAATTTTATCTATCTTTTGCAATCAATCAGTTCAGATCCCTGGCAAAGTGATCTACCTTTCCTTGACAGACTGCTGTGTGAAGAGAGAGAGAAAAGGAGGTGTCAGAGAAATAGAACATGGTAACCTGTTTTACCAATTGCATGCAGTCTGGTTCTCAACAGACTTAGGTGGGAATATGACAGAAAACAAGTTTCCATGCCTGATTTAAGTGAAGAGAAAGGCTGTACTCCTTCAGTCAAAGCAGAGCTTCACCAGAAGGTATCTGGCTTGTATGCAGGAATTAAATAATTATACAATCATTCTATTACATCACCTTTTGAAAAGATCATAATAAAACAGAGACATGCTGAGCTTATGTTTTGCTTATGCCCTGGGCTCAGAGTGACCTCTGTTGGGAGAAGGTTACAAGGAACTTCAGCCCATATTTCCAGTTTTTTTCACTCTTACCTATTACTGGGACAGCCCCTGCTGGGGCACAGTATTCATAAGACAAATCAGATTAGGTTTCCTTTTCACAAATGGAGCAGGAGGATAAAATAGCCATGTTTTACATTTCTAGACATATGATTCAGGTAAATGTCTAGGGTTCTGTTTCTCATAGTGCCTGGCAACTGTAACAGTGCAGAGAAGTAGTTGCCTATAGCTTTCAACTATATGCAATCTTTGCCTTTTAATACTTTCTAATTGTTTGGAAAAGATGAACTACCTCAACTCAGCAAAAGAGTATGCCATCACTTACTAAAAAGAAATTATAATTATGCTCAGAATAAGTCATAATATCCTATTCCAGTTTGACAAGATGACTTGTTGCCCTGACTTACACAATTCCATGTGTTTCTTACACTGTTTTTATGGCTTTTATTAATTCCATGTAATATGACAAAAAACTGAAAAAGGAAAAAAAAAAGATCAAGCCGTAGTCACATAGTCAAAGTGTGACACTATTCATCATCACTATGGCCTTGGTTTGACTTTAGCCTTTAGTAAGGGACTTAGTAAAAAAGCATTTTTTAAAAAGTTCATGTGCTACTCCCCTTAATCTGATTTACTCAGAAGGAATGCTTTCTCTTCTGCCTCATTTTGCAGTTTGGTAAAACAGTATTTCAACAATATTCACCTTGCAATGTCCTCAGAACTAAATACTGTCACCCACAGTAACCAGGCACTATACATTATCACTAAACATCTCACTGAAAAGGAAACAGCTCAGCACTATGTGAGATCTTACAAAGGATCTCCCCTCACATTGGGCATACCAGAAGTATTTCATTTCTTTCTAAAGAAAATACATGTTCCTCAACAAAACCAAACTGATCAGCAAGCTAACTTGTATCCTGATAGCCACCCTTCTAAATGCATAAAATCACTCTATGTACCACTACATGGTATGTCTACAAGTTACTCAACTCATAGTCAAACTAAATAGGCTATTTCACACTCCTTTAGAATACTGAGAGTGTGCCTAACAGAGATCAAAATCCCATTCTAGCACTGAAGATGTTACCTAGCCGGGTAATGAAATGTTTGCAAGAAAAGAACCAAGCTCAGAGAACCCCAAGGACTCCACAGATCAAAATCGATTGATTTTCAGGCATGCAACCGGAATCACGCAGACAAAAGATGTGACCCAGAGAGCAGGGAAAGCCTAACAAGAACAACTGAATGAGTAGTTCAGAGCTAAACTATATAATACGTGGTAATGTGTGTAAAAACCAACTGGTAGTTCATTTTTAAAACATGAAAAATGGCCTTTGGAGTCTATGATTCCAATGGAATGAAAGGAACTAGGAAATTTTTATGAATGATCAGTTTTCTGCTCAAAACTAGCCACTTAGGAATTCTAGGTTTAAAAATAACAACTCAGCAGGCTTCATACATTTAACAGCTTGTGTGGCACATCTCCCCTTAGCTACCCTTTGGGAAAAGAACTGTAAATTCCAAAAGGCACCAGTACCTATTTACGAAACCTAAGGATTGGGCAAGAACAGCTACCATTTATGTTTAAACAAGCACATAGGCAGCTATTAATGTGTGAACCAACACTTGTAGTTTATAAATCATGGGGAGCAGCTTTGCATTATATGAGAATCAGATTACAATGGACTGTTCAACAAACCCTGGTTAAAACTAACTCTGGCTTAGTATGTGAACCACTCCGATATGAAATCATTTTGTAGGTATATGAATTCAGTCTTACTGTTATCATTCATTACATCTGACCCAAAAGATGTGGCACTTAATTGTTTTTATTTTATACATGTATGCATTCAATTTATGTCCTGCCTTTCTCCAAGGAGCTCAAACTCCACTCCATCCAATCTCTTTGTCAATCCACTGAGGGCATAGTAAGAAAAGCTAGTAAGCTCAGGTGTAGGGGAAATTAATGCTCAGAAAAATAAAGACAAATAAAACATAATCTGCCAGAAAAATAACATCCAATAAACAGCCACATCCAATCTAACACCTCACAAATGACAGGTAGAACACTTAAAAAACCCACAAGCATATATGGTACCCACAGAGAGAGAGAGAAAATGCACAACACAAACACAAACACGCAGAGAGAAAACCCACTCCTGGAAAACACCCACCCATTGAAGTAACTGAGAAATACAACATAGATGTCACCCTCCTTTCCGTACTCATCATGAGCATGCACAATGCTAAGCTGTCCTTTGCTAGAACACTTGATATACCATTGAGGTAACAATCAAAGAATTGGATCATAGTTAAAACAAATCCTGGGTACCATAAAATTAAAGGATGGGATACTTTGCCAGATAACCAGAGATGCTGGGTAAGTCAACTGGAACCCTACTAGAGCTTCCTTCTATAACATGGCTCTTACCTCATCACTAACTCCAAAAAGAGGTCTGCGTCTCTAAGACATAACTTGGCCCTGCCTTTATATAATTCGATACAATTCCTGATGTTAGCCAAAAGGCTGAGAAGCATTAGATATGCATCAAATACATTTTAGAGAAAGAAATCAAAAAATTTATTAAAAAAAATTATATAGCCATCCATCTTAAATACAGAATTCTGGGTGGTGAATAGTACATACAAAACAATATAAAAAACCCATAACCAATTAAAATAATCCAATAAAAAAAACAATGTTATAAAACAATTCCATAAAAACACACATGGATATTGGGCTCCCCTAACATCCTGGCCCTAACGCTTGGGGGGAAAGCCATGTTTTAACAGCCTTCTGGAAGCCCAAGTGGGTTGGGGCCACCTGAATCTCAGGGGGGAGGCTATTCCACAGGGCAGATGCTGTGACAGAGAAGGCACTCCTCCTCAGTTCTGTAAAACAGAGGTCCTGACCACCCTGTTGTATCTGCTGGAAAGCAAAGAAACCCTCAGAGATATAGTTTCACAAGTAACTTGACCCCGTGCCATATAGGGCTTTAAAAGTGATTACCAGAACCTTTAGTGCTTTAAGATTGTTAAAAAGCCCCCACTGAATACAGAGATTTTATAAATGAAACCAACAAACAAGGATGACATCCACCTCCCAACCTTATTCTGTTCTTTGAAAAACATTTTGGGAGCCCTTTGGCCACTCTGAACAAACAGCACGCAATCTAACACTGTCAGTCCCAAGTATGTAGAACTTTGATGAGAATCAAATCACAAGAAGTCCTTTAAGTCTGTCTAAAACTAAGCTTTTAAAAAAAATTGTAAGAGCATATGGTGCAGGCTTCTTTAGATGTCGTATGCTAAAACAATGGACAACAACAAAAAAAGGCTTGGCTTAATTTCCTGATTAACTTTACTCTGTATTTTCTTTCTTGGTGTTTTTTAAAAATTATTACTTTTATTCCAGAATGGCTGAAAGGCCCTTTCCTCCCCCAACTGCTATTTCAGAGCTACTAGAGAATCTGCTTGGCCCGAGGGGATAGGAGAGAGAGGACAGAAGAACCTGTCCTTAAGCAAACTGGTTGAGGAGGAAACACCACAATAAATCAGGTGAGATACTTCAACCTTCAATTAGCCTGTGAGAAGCAAGAAAGACAATGAGTGCAAATAAAGGACTTCTTCAAAACCTCACCAACAATGTTGGTATTCTCAGATTTTATATTAACTTTATCATCCACTGCTTCAAGCCTTTTACTGGAGAGGTGATTCATAAGACCAGTCAAAGCCAGAGAGAAACTTACTGGTACTAAGACTGGCTATACAGAGCCTTGTGCCTCAGAGACAGGGGCGGGGGCGAGGGGAGAGGGAGAGAGAGAGAGCAGCAGACTCCAAGAATTTTACTTGAACAATGTCACAGGATTAGAGATTTCCTTAGTCTGTCTGTGACCATTTGGCAGAAACTGACCTTCCTTCACTAAACAACTAGGGAGGTTCTGTTTCTTCCTTTGAGAGTTTCCAGAATGAGTTTCTCTAAATAAACAAAAACTTGCCTGAACAAAATATTTAGTGAAGGTGATAAAGGAAACTCAACCATTCTTTGATTGCTGCTGTCTGAAAATAACAAATAGTGTAGGCCTGAAAAAAATTGTGAAAGTTGGAGGTCCTACTGTTTGCCACACCTGAAGGCTATTAAAGATAAGTAAAGCAGCAGTGGGAAATAAATAGAAACATTTATTCAATAAACTTTTTTAAAAAATCCCAACAGGGCTGGAGAACAGGGTTGAGTAAAGGAGGATTGGACAGGGACCCTCTCCTGGCCCTTGAAGCCATCCATTTTTCCTGTGCAAAGAAGTGCTCCATATAAAACAGAATGGTTTATCAAGTCAACAGAAGTTGCCCTGTGGAGCCATGGAAAGGATGCAGGTGGAACAAAGCTGATTCCACTAACAAGACATCTGTTTCTGCACCTTTGCTTCCACCTCGCTTTTCCATCCAACAAGATGCAATAAGGCTGGCAATGCAAGAAAGGGGGAGGAGGGTGGCTTTGGATGGACTTATGGCTGAAATGGGTCCTTAGCACAAACATTCCTCATATGCATTAACCTCTAATTCCTACTATTATTTCATTCAATTTAATTAGTCTTATAATTTGTGAGATGCCAATATAAAATAAATGAAAATGTTATTTGCAGCTTGGAGCAATTGAGCAATCCCATACACAGAAGCATACCTGCAACAACCCAGGGATGATGTCTTGTAGGAGCTGATGCAATGACTCCTTTGAGATTCTTTCAATGACTTTAGTTTGCATTTTAATAGCAGCCAGATTAATTGGATAGTCAGCTGTTTGAATGATGGGACAGAGCACTTTGATGCACTGTTCTGGGTGGATGGAGCTGGCCAGAGTGGAAGCTGCTTCCTCAGCAGCTCTCACAACCTACAGTGGGATTGGGAAGGGGAAGAAGAGAGAATGGTTAAAGTTACAGCGTTACAGAAAATACGTATGTTTCCATCCTTGAGAACCATGAGCATAGTCAACTGCAAGCTTAGAGCTATGATATTATACTGATTGTTCTAGAGATTGGACATTTCTGAATACATTTTTCTATCAGAACACTGAAAAAAAATGCTGGCATTGGAAACATTCTTCTGTATTTACAAAACATGTCAGAAGAACTCATTATTGCAGATCAACATACTAAAGAAAACATTAAGGAGAAAATGGGTGCGACTGTTTCCTGATTCCAATGACTTACCTTAAATTTGTATATTCTGCATTTTAGGGTAGGATGGTAACTGTGCAGATCTTCATTGTAATAAATGAAGAGTGTTATGTTACTACTGAGAAAATGAAGTTAAAATAATATATTTATTTGTCAAAATGATTTGCTTGCTCTGAATACAATAAGCTGTATTCAGATATCCATCATAAATAACAGATGTATTTTCTACCTAGAATTTATTCTGGTTAGCATATCCTATACATATGTAAGAATTGCAGAAGGAATTGTGAAGCACAGGATAGATTTTCACATAGCAATCTAGCTGCCTATTCCAATGTTATTCAAATGTGAATCAGTGTGTTCAACATTTTTATTCACTCACTTGTTCAACGGACTAAATGTTAGTATAAATGCATTTTCTTTCATTGTCATACTAAATCATTCATAACACAGATACATAACATATACCTCCCCTTACATATATACACATAACCTCCATACATATTGTGTGTATATATATTTCACTCATAATAACTGGTACAAAAATGTTATAAACAAGAAAATACAAAGAGTTTAGCTACTGTACACTCATGAGAATGAAGGCTGCTTGAAGTGTAAAATTAAGCACAAAAATATAGATGGTTTAGGATAAAAATGTTAACATATTTTCATAATTCAGCATTGTAAACTTATACAAAATTGGAAGGAGCCAGTTAGCTCATCAAGTCCATGATCAGGACATCTCTACCTAGCCTTTGCTTAAAGCTGTCCAACAAAGGGAAATTCTACTGTTTATGTGGTTATACTAATAGAAAAGTGATTTCTGTCTCATAACTTTCACTTGAATATACCTCCCCATAACTTAAATCATTATTCCATATCCTGCACTCTGTAACAACAGAGAACAAGTCAGGATTCTCTTCTGAGCTTTCAGGTACTGGAAGAATGCTATTTCATCCTCCTTGCAGTTGACTTTTTGAAAAGCTAAAGATTCTGTTCTCACAGAATTTTAAGTTTCCAATGCCCTGATCCTTCTTTGCATAGTTCCAGGTTGTGTGAATCCATCTTAAAGTGTGGTGTTCTGAACTGGACACTGTGTTCAAGGTAAGATCTTGACCAATGCAGAATAAAATAGAATAGTCATCCCTTTGAATATGATTTCTAGACATATGCTTCAGACATATGTTTAATTCTACAATGGATCCCAGAATTTTCAGAAGAAAATTGATGTAGTGAATTAAAATTTTAGTAGATTCCCTTTTAGCTCAATACAAGCTAAAGTCCGGAGCAAAAGTCCAGAATTCATCAGTATTTAAATAAGAAGCAGCAGCAGCAGGGGAGTGATTTTCATTTCTTCCTAGAATAATAACTAAACTGGAGCAATATAAAAAGAGAACTCAGCATTTGGCCAGACAAGCAATATCTATCCTGGGTCCAAGGATATGCCTTTATTTCCTTGCCCCCATTACTAGGACATAATAGAATGGTAGAATGGACGGCTTATGCTAGAAAGATATTGAGTGCAAGGATTCCTTAAGAAATGGAAATCCTGCCAAAAGGAGAACAAAAAAGAATATAAGTTGTGCTAAGGAAATTCAAGGAAATAAAAAGTCAAAAAAGTGTTCTATTGCTAATAATCAACAATAAAAAAATATTTAACTATATCAAAAGGAGGAAACAGATAAAAGGAGGCAGTTGGATGACAATAAAATAAAAGGAGGAATAAAGGAGGAATAAGCAGAAAACATAAAAATTATTTGTGTCTATTTTCAATGCAAAAGATACAGGACAGTATTAATGGTGATATAGTTATTTTTAGGAAATGAGTCTAAAGGCTCAAGACAAAATGTAGTAACAAAGGAAGTTGTAGGCAAACAAGCAAATCATTGAATCCTGATGACATCCATGCAAGAGTTATTAAAGCAATCTTATTTAAAATGGCAGAACTTTACAACATGTTTTTAAGATCAACTACTCTACTATATATTGGAAAGTGGACGATATAATATCATTTTAAAAAGGGTGTTGGGGATCCAGGAAATTACAGGCTAATTGCTTTAATTCATATTCTGGACTAATTGTAAAAAACTTTCTTAAATTAAAAAAGTTAAGCAAACAAAATGAAAAACCTTGCTGAAGAAGATTCAGCACTGCTTCCTTAAGTTAAAGCCTGTCTCACCAACCTCCAGATTTCTTTGACAATATATAGATAGTGCTGGTTCCTTAGATATTGTTCAAAAGTTTTTCAACAATGTTTGCCCTTCCTCCGTCCCTCCCTCTGCAATTCCTCAACTACATTCAATTACATTGCAAACCACCAGCTGCAAGTGCAAAATGTCCATGTATGAATTTGGCCAAAATAAAAGATGTTGGAGAAGGCAAGGTTTCCCACATCACTTGCACAGGTAATTCAGAAAGAAACACAAAGTCAAGGTGAGACAACAAGAATGTACACTAGGGAGAAGCCTGCCAATAAAGGCACTCCTTAAGAACAAAATGTTTTGTCCAACTGCTTTATCTGGAAATCTGTTACAGCTGCTGCTAATTGTGGCTACACACACACAAAACACTGTTGTATAAAGGCTCTGATTCCAAGAAAACATAATAAAGACATGCTGATTTATTAAAAGGATTAAATATTTCCTGGCCCTTCTTTTTAAGACAATGCTTATGCCTTTTGTTCCCATGTTGCTTGCTTGCTTAAGTAAGTCATAATGTGTTTAAAACCACAATCCTGTAAACAGCTAAATGGCTATATAGCGCAGCTTATTCTGTTAGTCCTATTTTGTGGTGAAAAGCTCTCTTTTTTGTTTCTGTATGTAAAAGTTCTCACAATATTATACAGAACTGCATATGCTTAACTCTACTGACTTCAGTTAGAAAGGTTGCAGTCCTGTATTGTACCTGGAGAGTCATGGTATAAGCATGTAAAAATGTATGCAGGACTAAAGTGAATTAAAAACAAATATCAGTAAGAAAATCTGGTGTGGATTAAGTATAACATGTAAGTTGTTGAAATTGGTTCAGAGTTTTCATATTCTTCATTCATCTTCTTTGTCACTGATGCTCTGGGCAAGAAATGACAAGCTTTTTTGGTCTTGGGGAACAACAATGACCTTCTATCCTGCTTGAAGGATACCAAGAATGTCTGCAAATAGATGGGTCTGAAATTTTTGGACCTAAGGGTATTTTTTATTTTTCATTTGGGGAAACCTGGGATAGACTAAGTCAAAATGGGTGCTTTAACTTTGGTCCTTAAAGCCCCAAACCCTGAAACATGTACTCATCAAGGTGGTTTTGCAGGACCTAGAGGCTGTAGATGGAGTGCTGTAGGGCCACATATGGCTTAAAGGTGGCTCCCCATGCTTTAGTCCTTCACACTAGATAACCAGGGTAGTTTCTTTAAAGGAATCCCAGAAGACCCACAAGAAAAGTTAATTTAGGGCCATAGCCAATAATGTATGGAATCAGAGCTATGGGTTAGGAGTTCCATTAAGGTATGGTTTATTTTTCTTTTCCTGTACCATCCCTATTCTTCATATAACTTCTGTCTCAACCCATAGATACCAATACAAATAGGAAGTTCTTAATAAACCTTTTATTACCATCTCCAATGCCATTTAAACTTACTGGCTCATTATAGTTTTGTTTTGATCAAGGCGCTATTGGAATTAATAGTAAAGCATGATCTATAGACACATACACTGATTCTTAAAGTATAACATGACAATCAGAATTACCTCTTTATGAGAATCTTTATGCGCTTCTAGGGTCTTCATGATAGTTAGTTCAGCATAGTTCTTAAATCTTGCAGGTTGGTTCCTCAGAATTTCTCTCAAAACTCTTAGTGCCAAGGCTCGTATCGAATGCTAAATCAAAAGAAGCAGCACATCTTGAAAAGATAATTCATCTTTTCAGAATCATTAATACAAGGAATGCATTGGTTGACTAGAACTGATACATGTTTTATATTATATAAAATCAAGTTTTTAAATCAGAAAAAATCAGATCACAAGGCTTAGAAGTGAACATGACAGCAGCCTTGCATTATGGGTCTAAGTTCATTAGCAAAACTCAATAGCATGTTTATTTGAGAACCAGGTAGCTGCTAATAAATATTGGGAGCTTTTATGTCAAGTATGAGTGGAAGGTATAAAATAAGCCACCCAATGAAATGTGTATCAAACAGAACAAGAGACAGGGATTTACCATATACCCAGCTCTGATTCTGTCTCTTTTTGAAATACATAAAGAATCCAAAAACTCAGTTAAGTTTCATTTCCTTCCTCCTATTTAGTAACAAAGACCAATACTGTGTTATTAGTAACACAAGAAGCTAAAGCAGTGTTCCACGTTTTGCAGAAATACATCTATTTCACATTTCTTTTGGAAATCAATATTAGTTTTTGTCATTCAGTCTGTTGTCGTCCCAGCCCTGATAGTCACCAACACTTTTATCCAGGAAGATCATTATTAGTGAGAATATTAAAATAACATCTCAGGTTATGTAACTGTTGGGATGTATTTTTGGATGAGAGCCATTTCAACCATTGCCTACAGTTTCAACACAGAGGCCTATGGTTTAGCTTCCTCAGACTGAACTTTGTAAGTACGTCCTCATGCTTTGGTATTCATCGCTGCAATTCCCAAGCTAATACTTGATTCATCCCAATTTAATCTTCAGACACCTCAGTGATAACCAGAACTGGCAGAAACAAATGGCAAAAAATAACAGGTACAAATTTTATTACCTGCTTTCAGAATATTATTCTAAAAGCATTAGATTCCATGAATGTGTAAAATCTGAAATACTGTTTCAGTCACTTATCCTGTTTTTATTAAAGGGATGGGTAAGAAAATAGATTAGCGTAATATCAATAGGTATCAATTGTTGTGCAGGATAAGCTAATTAAGTTACAATTTGTTTATTTGAGTTTAAGAAGGATGAAATAGTTCAGACTATGTCCTTCAGTGCAAAAAACTGAGGTCAGAACAATAACAACAACTTTCCAAAATCTCCCAGCATGGGCATTCAGTATGGGCAAGACTTGTTTTTGCAGTAATAAATTTACTAGCCTTTTAAGTGTCATGTTGTTGTTAAATGGCATAGCTCAGGGTATGCAACTTTTGGGGAGGCTGAGGACAACACAGCCTTAGGGTTGTATACCAAGGGCAACCCTCTAAAAAGGAGGCACACAAAAACCAAATTTAGTTTCAAGGTAAGCATATCTGATTAAAATTGAATTAAAGTTAATATAACATTTTTTGAGGGACTCTGCATATTACATTGGGTTCTCAGATTGTGCATTCCTGGCACAGTTACTCTTTGGCAGCAGCATCCGTCTCCAAACCCATGCTGATGTCCCTATCCTGTAAGTGGGACCAGCTCCCTTTTGAGGGCATCCTGGGTGGGCCCTCTCCTCAACTGGAGAGATGTCTGGCAGAGGTAATGGGTAACAGCAGTGCTCCAGCAGGCACCATGCGATTAGGAATACAAGTTTCAAGTGTCACAGTACCAGAGTGATGCTCCTTTGGAGAAACTGGGAGTGGGGTAGATATCTAGGATAATTAAATCTAACTGGCTAGCATTTCTGAGAATGTGAAGCCAAATTAAACAAAACAAAACAAAACAGAGAACACCATCTAAACATTAGCCACATATACTGTAATGACAGTCCTGGTGATAAGTATCTATGAAGCATAGCAGAGACTATGATAATATCTTACATCTTTGTCTCCAAGCGTTTCAAGTAATAAAAGCAAAATGGTCTTAAAATGTTCCTCCCAAACTCCCAGATTATCTTCTCTTGTAATCTTCAATAATTCAAGAAGGGCTCCTTTCCGTTCTTCTACCCGTTCATTATGATTGGATAATTCTTTTAAAAGATCAGCCACCAAGTCGGAATGATCAATGGGCACTGGGGGAAAAAAGTGAAAAAGTAATTTCATAGTAAAGAGAAAAAAGCAAGAATTTTAACAGGTGACGGCGGGACATATTCATAATATTTCTAACTAGTCTAGAAACATAATTTGTCTTGAGTCCTTTAAATACAAAGGTTTTATCTATAATCTAAACATATTCATTCTTTAACAATTGCTTCTTGGTGTTACTGCTTGTCACTATGTGCCCATAAAGCAATTCTGTGCAGGCAGGGGAGCCCAGATGAAAACATATAGAGTTTCTGTTCCCACGGCTTTTCTTTTAATCATGGATAGCTTTCAGCACACAATGGAATGACTTTTGGAAGGTGCCTTCTTCATTGATGTGAATGTAGAAGACCACTTACAGAATGACATGGCCCCAGTCTCACTATAAGAATTGATTTAAGGATTCAAAAAGAAGTGCTTTCATAAATGTTCCTGTACATTATGAATATCTTCATTCAAAGGACTTGAACAGTCCTAGTACCTCATCTTCCTCTATCTTGCATATTTTCTGCCACAAATAATGACGGAATACTGAAATACTAGAGTAGCTACAACATGTGAAGTGGCTCTAATAAATAAGTTGCATTTATTTCATGATGATCTCGATATTTTTGAAATTCCTGCCAGTCCCTTTCCTTTCTACAAGACTACTTACCAGAAGATGTGGGAAAACATCCTTCTATTTATCTTAGTAAAAATAGGTTGAGATCATAAAAATGTCCATAAGGTTAAACCTCAGTTCAGACGAACATCAGGATTTCCCAATGAACAGTTATGCAAATCCCATTACTCAGAGCTGCTGCATATTCCAGCAAGGCTGATTAAGAGATGATGTAAACTGAATTCAAGAAGCTAGTTTCAGTATGATGTTCTAATACAGTTTAACATCAACATGTAAATGTTAAGGGAGCAATAAGCTCAATACTGGAGTTTAGAAAATAAATGAAAACCAACCATCCCGAAGCTGATCCATATCATCATCAAACACGGCTTCCTTAAGAGCAGTCTTATCATAGGCGCTGATAGTATCAGAGTATGGATAGGGGTTGTATTCTCGAGCTCGGGGTCCAGAAAAGGCACGTGGGGGCTGGGTGTTGAGTAGGGAAGTCTTGTTATCTAGAGCCATCCTTCCTCCTTCCACAACATCACTACTTCCACGCATATCAGTGGCTGGCGAGGCTATACCATCATCTCTAGAAACCTGTAGCAATTGGTCAAAGAAATTCTGTAAAGACTACTTTATTGGGGCCAATTTTCATTACACTAGAAAGGACAACTCTATTAATACTCTAATAATATGCTACATTGCAATGGCAATCTGATTTTTAGAGGCAATCTTTATCCATTTTGAACCTTAGGACACAGCTGGTTAGTAGGTCTAAATAAGTCAGAACTTTGTTTCCACTAAACACTAATTTCAGACTGACAGTTTGTAAATGTATGTAGTATTTTTTATAAATAAGGTTTTCTTTGTCACCTGCAGCCATTCCAGTATCTTGTTACTGTTTCTCTATGCAGTGGCTGAATAATTTTGAACAAAATTGTGAACTGGATTTATTGCCAACGTTGAAGAGAGGAAGAAAATTATAAAAATATTGAATCCTATATTTGATGAGTAGTCTGGCTTCAAACACTTTGCATACTGGACTTCATTCACTTAAGCATTTCTGTGCATAAATCCAATTGCTTGATTTGCGCACCAGAAAATTGTATGTGTGAACAAATACTTGGAATAGGCTCAGCACAGCCTCCTATGCAAGCATGCTTCCCTTCCCTTCCCTTCCCTTCCCCTCCTCCTTTTGAGAGGGGGAGGTAGGAAGGGGGATCATCTCTGGAGCTTGAAACCTACAGGTGAAACTCTTGCTTTTCTTCAAAAGACAAAGCCAGTAGGGAAGAGGGATTCCTCTTGGAAAGAAGTTCATTTTGGTTCTGTCTTCTCACTGAAGAGAACACTTTACCCTTTCCTATCAGCATCATCTCTCCATGACTGAGCAGTGTACCAATCCTCTCTTGATTAGTGTGGATATCTGAATATCTGCTCAGAACTACTATATATCAAGCACTAGATTTCTAGTGACAAGAAGAATGATAGTGGATCATATACTTTTACAGCTCTGTAGATAATGTGTATATATTTTAGTTTTATATTAAAGATACTAACTTTGTGATATTCTCCTGTCATTTTCTCCATTGCAGCAAGAATTGCAAATATAAAGAGTTAAAGGAAATAGTTGTTTTAAAAAACGAAACAATACTGTATATGCATATATGAGTGTACATCAGCATCCCTCAAACTGATGCTCCTAAAGTATGTTACGACTACAGGATCTAACATTCCATGACAACAACAACACTATATGTTGCTGTGCACTGTATGTTTTTCAGTCCAGCAGATCTGCTCAAGCTGTTATATATAAATGATGCCCAGTTGACAAAGTCACCCACCCATGTGTTGCTGCTTGAAACTGAACCATGCAGAAGATGCTCAAAATGGCAAACTATTCATCTCAATATTCGATTATCACTGCTCTCAATATTTACTTCACACAAAAATTAAAAATTCTTTCAATGTCTACTTACAATGTCACTGTCCTTCTTTCCATCACGTTTGATTGGCTCATTTAGATCCTCTTGGCTACGAAAACTAAACTTTTCAATTGCTTCTGTGACTCCACGAAGAGAGCTATAAATTTCATCAGAATTTAGGTTCTCCGTGTCGTAATCCAGCATGCTGAAGAACGAACACATATGCAATGTTAAAATTAAAGAGTGGCTGCTCTGAGATTGAATTAGACTTTTTTCTTATTTGGAAAGAGATGATTTGAAACTCAGTTTTAAAACATGCAACTTTCAGAAGGCTTTTCAGACCTGAGCACCAGGAACTCAGATGTTAATTTCCAGAATGTGTAAGAACTACTGAAACTACACCTATAATTGGAGAGCAGCACAGTTGGGCCTCATCCATTGGTTGGGGGAGTAAGAGCTGTATGTTTATTATTTAAGCAAGAAACAACCATCCTTGAATTGGATATAAATGCCAACTTATAAATCAGATCATTCCGTTCTAGCTTTGAACTGATCTCTCTTTCTCTATCTAATGGGATAACAATATAGTAAATAAATAATAAGTAAATTGATTGATGACTAACTGTGATGCCACAGTTCCATGATCAACACTTAACATCCCAGCAGGTCTTTAAATGAACAGATTTCCCAAAATATTAAACTTATTCACCTATATAAAAACCCAAAGGCACAATAAAATGGACTATTTCCCCATGGAATAAAGAAGTTCTTAGTATTCTTACCTGAAACCTAGCTCTAAATATGTGATAATAATTAAAAAGAATTAGCAATAAAACTAGTCATCACGGATGCTGGAAATTAAACCTGTGGCACTACAGACTCAAGGCAAAAACTAGTTTTTGGCTTTAAATTTTATTCTACAAGGAATCCAAATGGAAGAATCTAAATATTACACCTTAATTATTCTCAAATAAAATTTTATCAGCAATGTCTCACTTTTGTCTAGTCATTTTTTTTCTTGTGCTTGCTGGAAAGAGCATTTCCTGTAGATGATCTTTTTTTCAAGAGGCCACCATAAAAGACTCTTTAAAAAGACATTTTACCCCATTGTGAATTATAATCCAAAACTAGGAAACCTGGAGGAGACCCTGCATTTTTCCACGGCCATGTTGGGGGTGGGATTTGTATGTGTTTCCCTTGCTCTGAAAGAGTGAAATTAGAATTAAGCTAAACATAAATACCTTATTTCTTTTCTCCATAAAAGCTATCAATTTCTACATCTGAAATTCATTAGTACATAAGCTTACTTGGAACATTGATCCCTAAATTCTTTTCTTTCTATTTCCAAAGTGTCTCTTCTCATTCCTTCTCAAATGCCCCATCTTTCTCTATTACAAGTTTGTGCAAGTGCTAGGACAGCTGTTAAATTAACCAGACCATATTCTCCTTTTATGATGTACATATGTGTTTAGGGGGTTAAAAAATAAAACCTTACACTTTCACTAGAATGCATGAGCAATTCTCCAGTTCAAAGTAATTATTCCTTAACTTGCTGAAATCCATATATCTGACGTATATAACAGATAACCAAGTAACCTTGGTTCTGTATCCATCCTGACAGTTGAAAGGGGCATACATTTACATATGTGTATGCATGTATGCACATATGTGTTTGTGTGGGTGTGTGTATGTGTGTACACACACATACACACACACATACATGCAGTTACAATGAGGGTAACAAATATAGCTCTCTACTCTGTCACTGATGAGTTGCTTTATATATAGAGCAGGGAGATTGTGAATAAACACAGATAACTTTCCTCTGGATCCAGAGAAAAGGGCCTACAATTAAAGAGTTCCTCCTATGACACAACAGGATCAAAACTCTATCTCTGCTAAAAGGATGTTTCACAAAATGATAACCTATTCTGAATGGCACCTCCCAAAACTTGTATTTCATTATTTAAAACTACTTGCCAAAAACAAGATTTATGTCTCATGGAAACAGTTCCAGTCCCTGGATTTCTTTCAGTGGACTCTTCCTGCAGCACCAACCCAGTTAACACTGGCTGGACTGAAGGTACATCTGGGGTTTTGGCAAAACAATAATACAGCATATCCTAAAATCTCAGCATGTGGCAGTTTGCTGTGTTGTAGCCTTTTCAAGCTAGAAAAGTAACAATTATCTTTAAAACAATTAAGTGTTTATAGATGTTATATGTGATAAACCATTCCCCACAAAAAAGGAAGTTTTACAATTCCCTGGTAGACATTACACAGGATTCTGGCAATTTTTCCTTGACAATTAGTATTTTGTGCTCACAGGTCTCAACAATATTTCTCTACATAACAATACTAATTTCAACTTGGCCACAAAATGTATCACTTTTTTTTTCTATTGATGGACAAAATGAATACCGAAAGGTAGACACCCACCTTATCATTAGTGTTCCATAACTACAACCATGGCTCTGAGAATCTGAATCAATATACTTATGATTCACACAGCTGAATCATGGAAGAAGCAAAAAATTCCCAACCCCAAATAGTTCAAATTAATCATCATCAATCCTTTTCAGCTACAAAATGGATTCATTTTCAACAAACCCTTTCAACATTGCCTCCACACCCACTGTTGATTTATTATCACTGCCTCTATCTGATGTTTCCTCCTTATACTAATTTTAGACTGTAAAGTAAGAAGCTGAATTCTGTATATATAACTGAACTATATCATATATATTGATAGTGTAATAATAGATCCATGAGAAACTCAATTTGCATCAGTTTGTATATTAGTATGCCAAGGAGAAAAAAGGTCTCATTTTGAATGATAGTCCTAGTTTTCTATTTAAAAAGATTAACTTTTTCCAACAAAGCAGTTTAGAGTCAATTTCAAACAGAATGTATTATTGTAAAATAGTAATTTGGACCACACTTATACAAATGTCTGGATTATTCCATATTACTTGTTACATGGAACAGATTTCATTAGAAACCTTAAAATAGCAGTGGCATCCAAAATCTACAAGGGAAGAACCTATTTTTTTAACCTGAGAATAAAACATCATAAAATAGTTCACAAAAGAAAGAACAGTTTAGGTGTATTATTTTTTTTTAAAAAAACTAATCACATGTACAAGCAAATGCATTTAACCAGTATAAGAACTGTATGATATAGTGTATAGATAATATGAAAACAAAGGAAAAAAAATGAAAAATGGAAGATCAATTTACAATGAATAAATAAAATACATCCTATCAATCATACAAGATAGAAAACAATGATTCATGCAGAAAATTGGAGGAGTTACAAGGAGAACAAAGAGATGAGGAAAAATGTGTGACTTTTAACTGATGTCACAATATTATTTTCCAGTGCCACAGCTTCCAACAAATACAGCCTTCAGGATTCAGAACTTGCCAATGTCTGGGATTTTACACAAATGTCCTAAGTTTAAAAACAGAATTGGCCTATAAAACAAAGGAAACTGCTTCTAATTATCAATAATCTCCCTCACATTCGACTGATGGACAAAATCTAAATCTATATCCTAAGTCCCTCATTTTTGTTTACTGATGTTGTCATAATTTTATTTTTACACAGAGTAATGTAAATAGAATAACTTACTGTAGATTTTTATCTGTACTATAATTAATAGTTTTGTGTCCCTTTCAATGTTCTCATTGTTCTGTTCTTACAGAGCTAGATACTTATCACTGCAAGCAATGATGTATTCACACATTTTCAGGCACTGATGTTAGTAATTACATCCTCAAGCTTTGCTAACAAATATGAAGATTAAGATCTACTGAATCTTCATACTGCAAGCTGCACAAATAAAGGAATACATAATGGACATATGCCAGAGAATCTCAACTTGGCCAATCACACATCTGCATAGCATGTATCCACACAGCTTAGAAACAGGTTTATGCTTTCATATTGCCATTTGTAACTTGAAATGCTATTATGTAATAGGCAGTCTCTCTTGCTGCAAATAGTATGATTTTGCCGTGGTTGACAGTGGTGATTTATAGTTAATCTTCTTGACTAAAGGGGTTGGGATTTCCAAGGTAGATCTCAGGTCTTCAATGTGTTTGCAAACACCTTCCTTGGTATTCCATCAGGCTTCTGCCCCAACTGCCTTTTTAAAATATTATTTTCGTTAACAATGGGAAAGTGGCATGCTGCAAAACATCAACTACAATATCATCTTTATTTACAAAAATGTTGCTGAGCCCTATAATCATTCATTAAAAAATAAAAAAGACGGGAGGCTATATCTACCTGACGCGTTGTTGGGAAATTTTCCCACTTGCCTTCCTAACATGGCAACCATAAACATGGAAATACAGAGCATCTTAAAAGGAGGAAGTGGCAAGTAGCATTCTGATAAACTGATGTTGGTTTGTTTATGTTCCCAGTGCAGCCATTTTATAATTGGCAAGCACTTTTCCCAATAGTCATTTTTCAAGACGTAACATGTTGTCAAAATTCTACATGTGCCCACCAAACCAAAAAGGCTGGGTCTTGAAACAGAGGCTGAGTACAAATGCAAGGGCCAGGCTTATGCACATGAAGTTCAACAAATAAGACTGGAATTCCACCAAATGACAGGTGGGGATGGGGTAGGGTAGGAAGTGATACAAAGAAGGAATGAGTCCAGTTCCATATTTCTCCAAATGAGTGGTTTGGCTGGGAGGCTGTACAAGAAATGTATTCCCTGTACATGGCTAATAGACTTGCATGTAAAATGTGAACCGCATCCTAATGGGTGACTATTGCTCTCAGGCTGCTGAAGCAGTTGGCAGTATTATGCTAAATGTTTACAACCTGGCGTCTTCAGGTGTGACATTCAAATTGCTGTTTTCCAGCCAGCATGTCCATCAACCATGCTGTGTAGAGATTATGGGAATTGTAGTCAAGCACATCTGGAAGGTGTTACATTGGGGAGGCTAATTTATCAAATGCAAAGAGGATATTTTTTCCTTCAATATTGCCAAGTGATTTTTGAAAACCTATTTTTTCCTTTTGCATCCAAAACAATATCATTTAATTCTCAACTATGCATTATTTAGTTATGATGTCTAACTAGAAGGTCAATATACCTTAACTCTGGTCCTGTCCCTGTCTACCATTTGGCATTACCTGATTTCTAGATTTTAGCCCCATATATACATCTGAAAAGGGAGGGAAACATTTGCTTAGAATAGTTCATTGCATAAAACAAGTCTTTCCTTTGGTTTATTTGTATTCTTTCCAGCAGAAGGAATGAAAAGATAGACAGGAATACTCAGTTACATTTCTCTGGGTGCCTGAACAAGTGCTTTGGAAACAACATAACAAATGGGATTCCTTCACAGATAAAAACTATAAAGGAAAAGGTGCTGCCTCTTTCCACATCCCCTGGATCTGTCTCTTTGAAAGCAGTCAACTGAGCCAAAAGGTAAATAACATTGTGACACCTCTGACAGGTTGGATTAACAGGTGGCTTGTTACCTGGGAGAGTAAGAACGCCTGAAAGTCTTGTGAGAAGGAGCAGCGGGGATGGAGTTAGGCTGAAAAAGGGGAGGGGGGTGCTTCGACAGCCCATCTGCACTCCAACCCCAGAAACGACTGCAGTGATCACAGGAAGAAAAAAGAAAAAAGAGAAAAGGAGGGAAGAAACAGAAAAAGGGAGAAAAGAAAACTACAATCTGAGTGGCTGTGTTTTTTTCATGCTTTCTCAACTAGAGAAGAACTTAATAGAAACAGATTGGACAGGAATACTCCATTGATTGCTTCAGGTAAATACACTGCCATTCATTAATACTTGCAATATCAGTAGATATTACTAAGGAATTTTAGGGCATCTCTTGTCTATATCCATTTGCCTATTTCACAATACAAACAACATTCTGTAGTGAAAATTTCTTTTTCCTAGACTTATTTTGACTTCAGCCAATTGTAAAATGTCAAGGTAAGAAGAATATGCACTGGAATCAATTAGCTTAGATTATATGAGATTTAAAGACACAACACAAATAGTCAAATGCCGACGGCCAAGAGGATCTGTGTAGACACCTGCATAGAGCAAGAATATATCCTACAATCTGTTTTTCTAACAAATCTCAGCCTTATATTTTGGCCTCTTACTATTTGCCCAATGCGAACAACAACAAAATACTTAGAAACAGTGCTAAATATTAAGCACTGCAATTTCTTCTTATAATCATGCCCGTGGGCATGTAATTCCACTACTTCACACCATGCTTAACCTTTTAAACTCATTCACCCTTAGCAGGTTGTCTGTCAAGCAAACAGATAACACTTCTTTCCAATGCCCTGATACAACATTAATGCAGAGAAAACCCAAAATAGCTAGCATTTGGACTGATAATCATTTATACCTGTTGTTTGAAAGATGGTTGCTGATTTCTCCCATTTATTCATTCATTCTTTTGAGCAATCACTCTCCAGAACTCAGAAGCAGTCTTTCTGTTTCCTATAAGTAGTCCACATTCTACCCTCTAGTTTTATCCAATCAAGCCATCCAACCTGATGGCTAAATCAGGTAAATAAAGGTAAACCCTTAGAAATCTCTCATATTGTATCTATTTTGGGGCCATACCAAATCCAGTACTCCATGAACCACTTTCAGTTCTGGGCTATCTACTTCTGGAAATACACAAACCATTACTGAAGAATACATTTTGGGAAGAAAATGAAACACTGCAGAGCTGACTCTCCAATGTAAAACATTTTGGACATCCCTGGTAGTTTATTAGTCTATCTCCATGTCCAGATATTCATTAGTGGTTGCAAAGATATACCAGGTTGGTAAAGGCCATACATGGAATTGTTCATCATTGTTGGGGCAGTTTTATAGGATGAGCTTGTAACATATGTTGGGACTTATTTCTAGAACTGCTGGAGTATTCAATTGGTCATTTTGTTTCTATTGAGTTTCAAGTACGTCATTATACAAAAGATCACATTGGTGTATAAATAGATGAAAAACGTCGCAAATCATGAAATGAGACATCAGAATAATTCTGCAGTACTTTAGAGCTGTGCAAAGATCTGGATTCAAAGCGCAAAACATAAATTCAAAGTGGGCATGGGCATATATAGAGCACCTGTTGAGAACATTTTAAACCAATCATACCTTTCCCTGGGAAGAGTTATTATCCAGGAAAAAGTGCAGCCTTTTTAAGATGATTCCAACAGGTGTTACATATATGCCCCTCTCTGAATCAAATTTTGCTCTTTGAATCGAGATCTCTGCACAACCTGATTGTATCACAGCCTGCTTCTTTAGCTGTTCTGTCATGAAAGTCTTTCAGGGAAAAAAGACCAGAAATAAGAGTTATGTTTACACAATTCTGCATTTGGAGAGAAAAAAAGGCTAATATCACAAAATCTGATCCTACCTACCTGTGGGGCAAGCCACCAGAGAGGCAACCTCAATTTTTAAAGGACAAAGTATGACCAACTCTCCTATACTATCTCAATATAGCCAAATAAATTGACAGGTTTATAATTCCAAAATACAACATTCTGGCAAACAAGCATTTTAGCATATCAAATTAGATATAATTTGCTGGCTAATTCTTTCAAAATATCAGTCTGAACTCCAAATGCATCTCAGGTGCAATGAAAAACATTCATTTCATTTCATTTCATTTCATTTCATTACTATGTTTCATCCATTCAAAAAATTTCAAAGTTATATTTTTAAATGAGTTTCATAGCCTAAACTCTGCAGATTGTTTTTTGTTCCAACATTTCAGAAAATCAGGAACAAAAAATTAGAGCATAAAACAGAAAGCCAGAACAAAGAAAACTTTAAAAGTCACAGTGAAGCAATTCTCAAATATTGTAAGCTAACACTTGAATAAGAAAGTAGTAAAATTTAATTAAAACAGCAAAATATGATTGAAAACTAAAAACATTAACAGTGAATAAAAATGTGGATTAGCTTGGAGCAAGAAGCTTGTTCAGAAACTGAACACAAAACCAATTATGTATGTGAAACTTACACCATTAAGGAAAAAAGCCCCAAGAGAATAACTTATATATCGGTGTGTGCATTTGTCTGTATATGTATATTACAATGCATGCATGCACACGTGTGCACACATACACATATACACGCATTTATTTTAAACATTCATAGTCATTATTCTGAAAATCTCTAGAGATTTCTTGAGCTTGTAGGAAAAAAATAACCTAAAATGGTCGAACAGAATAGGTTGTATGATATGCATAGAACTGGAAAATGCTACAGTTAAGAAAATGTCAGACATTTTGAAAACCTTCAAAAATTAAAAAATAAAATCAAGGACATGCTTGTACAAGATAAGGAACACTTTTTGCATTTTTCACATCTGCTATGCACATGTTAGTAAACTCATATTAACAAAAGCATGCATTGTATTTAAACCCTGTATCTGCATTCTGAATAATTACAAGATATGGTTAAGGACTTTTAGGCTGTCCTCCCACATGCATATGCCAGGAGTCCTCAATCTTTCATCTGTAATAGTGAGAGTATGTTACGGACATTCTCACAAAACGACTGTCATAGTGGGTGTAGCCAATCACAAAACACTCACAGAAGGTAAAGTATTGGGCTGTAGCCATGCACCATTTTATGTGACACTTAGAAACACTGCTGAAAATCCAGTTTATGTTGACCCTGGTGTGGACTTCTCATTCATTTTTTTAAAGTAAAAAAATCTAAATGGATAGATGGACATATTCCCTGGGTGCTATGTTGGGGACCCAGGGCATGTATGTAGGACTAAGCCCCATTTTCTCAGTAGGAATTGTTTTTGAGTAACAATATCGTGGGTTGTATTGTCGAAATCTCCTGTGCGTGAACCAGGAATCTTTTGCACTTGCTACAGTTATACTACAATATGTACGCATACAGATGTGCCTGTGGATAAACGCTTGTAACGTAAGACAAATGTGATACGTACAAAGTCAGGAGTAAATACAATAAATGCTGTAGGAAGCAAGCACACACTATGTTAACCCTATTATTCTGATCAAAGTTCACAAGTTGCTTGGGGTAGCAAACTTGCTAATATGCCAAATTCCACTCCAGCAAGTTGAAATTTAATATTTTTAATATTTATAAAAAGGCCACTTGACTCAACTACAAATAATATTCTGAGTCAACAGTATTCAGTACAGACTTTTTGTATGGACTGCATTTCACAACAATGTATTGGATCAACAGCACATGATACAGACTGTTATGCTAAGAAGCAGGATCAAGAGATAGTAGCTACTTCAAAGTTGATAGCATGTGGGCAGGATGCAAATGGTCAAATCATTTCATGATGAAACATCAACAATATTCTTGTAATATTCCCATCAGAACAAAAATTTTACTTAAGAGGGCAACTTAGATATTTACATTTATATTTGTGTGACAAAATAGATGAAAGTGTATTAAGGATACATGCCACTTCCCTCTCTGGTGTATGCTTCCTGGTTGTATACCTCCCCCCAAGAAACTCTGGGAACAGGCATTTAGTTACTCCCTTCAGTAAGTCTATTCACACAATCCTTTGGAAGAAAATGGTTCTGAATTAGAATATTTGTGTATAGCACATACATACTGCTATCTCAAATTTTGTTACCGCCATCCTTTCAAAATGTTTTTGTTACCATATGTAGTTAATACATCCAGATTCATCTCCTACCAGAAGTAGGAAAACATCTTTGGCATGTTAATCAACTATCTTTTCCATGTTAGGCCACCACAGCCATTATACAGCCATTTTAGGCAGCAACTTATTTTTCTTGGCTTTCTTGGCAGCATATTTTAAGAACAGTACAAATAAATGAAACAAAAATTGTATTTTCCAGTTTACTGATAAAACATTCTCAACCCCCCCTTTCCTTTTTTAGGTCTTTAAATATGACTGTATAAGAAAGGAGGACAAATGTATAAAGTAATCTCTTTAAATGAATACAATGCATATTCGTTTGAATATATTTATGTCTGTATGCTTGCAGGACAAAAGGGTAGATACTGTTGTAGCTTTTAGGCATTACCTATAAATTTTAGTATTTTTAAAGTGCAGTCTAGATTTTTTTTTCTAAGAGGTAAAGCAAGACTGTTTCTTGCTTTATTTTCAGAACTGAACAAGTGCATTATATATGTATCTATATTGAGGTTTTAGCTAATGACATTTTAAGCAGAAAACTTTACATATTGGAATCATACTTTAATTAAGCGACAGTGTTACCTGGGTGATAATCCTCCATGAGAACAATTGGTAGGTGAAGTTAAGGGGCTGGTTCTGCTGCTAGGATGACGTGAAGGAGTTCGGCCAACAGTATTGCTAGGGGAACCCTAATATACAAAAGAGAAGAAATAACATACATTACAGGGAGAAGAATAAATGAAGTATGGGATAACTGTACTATAGTTAATATAAAATCTGACTTAAGCAGAATCTATCAATATTTTAACTATTAAGTGCAGATATTGATTTGACTAAGGGTTAACCAAATATCAATTGCTTCTATAGCTTTCAAGTTATTCAATAGGAAATTTCTACGGTTGGAAGTTGCCCACTGTTGCCTTCTTTACATTATAAGGAAAATAAGGCAAAGTGCTTATCAATATTTACCTTATCTATCTGACTGAAGCAAAAGGGTTACTACAGGGAGTCCTGAATTTTTCTTCTTCCTTTCTTCACATTGATGCTTTAGTAGCATTCTAGAATGAAAGGCTTTGGGGTTCCTTGAAAATACATATTTTCAAGGAATACAGCAATATAAGAGGTCTTGGCAGGATATGTCAGGCATTTGTCTATGAATGTATAACAGCACTGAGGTAGGGCAGGGCCGGGGAAGGTGAGATTTCCCTCCTTCTTCCATGCAGCTGGCCTTACATCCTACTACTGCTCCCAGCTGCAGCTTAAAAGGAAGTGACAGCAAAACTTTGGAATTTTCTGGCTTGGATTTCTTCCTGAGCCACAGCAGAATTTGGGTCCCAATGTTCACCTCTTCCTGGCTGTCCACAGGAGGTCAAAAGGTAACACATGCATCATGACATCACATAATGTCACAACATATTTAATTGTATCAGAACTGATATAGCAAGTTCACAGTAGTGGCATTTGCATGATGACATCACTGAGTGTGTCATCATTTTGGCATCATCATGGTTTGCTGCAGACATTGCTGAACCTTTTCCCTGGCAACTGTTTTTAGCCTCTAAAGCACCTAGCTAGGATACTTCCAGTGGTGGGCATGGCGGTTTGATCATCTTCAAGTTTGTGGAGATGGCATCTCAGCTGATTAGTGCTCAGCGAGCACTGCAGGATACTTTATCCTTCTTTGAATAAAGAAGGAAGCTTGAAATCAACCTATCCAATCTCTGAATGGCTGTTCCTCATGAGTAACTCGCAAAACCAGAGGCTTTTGCGAGAGGCTCGTGAGTGGAGCAGCTGGGAGGTGAGGAATTCATCCTTGTTCATGGCTGAGGTGCAGCCTGTAAAAGGACACTGGAACTGGCTGACCCCCATTTCTATTTTTCAGTCTATAATATCTTTATTATATAAAAAAAACAAAGTGCCTAGCTAGGTCTTAGCTAATAAACAACTCACCATATTTTCTTAACTCTAAGCCACTGGACCTTCTAGTACCTGATCTTTCCTTTTCCTTCTTTTGCTGAAAACCACCCTTGGCACCATGGCATCTTAGCAGGCAGATCCAAGATGCAGACAGGGCAAACTAGGCAGGGCAATGGCAGGATTTTTTTTTTAAATTAACAATTAAACACATTCTAAAAACCTTTACAACTGCAGCAAACAATGCCCCTAGAATTTGGCAGATAAATGAGAGGCCAAGGCTAGTGGTGAACCTTATGGGGGCAATATGCACACAATCCACCATGTTCAAGGCAATGCCAAGTTTCATATAAAAGCACAGAATTCTTGAATGCAGATTTGAGGATAACAAAAAGACATACATCCTTTGAATTCATTCAGAACAATGGCACCCCTTTTATTAAAAGTCATGTCTCTACTGCCCTGTAAAGCCAAGGCTGCAGATTTTTATGATGGGAGTGACTCTGCCCAAATCAACTGGTAATCAAGAAATTAATGCCTTTAATAATTTTTTTGTGTTTATTTCTTACAGGAAAAGACTTATCTCACCACACTAGTGTTGCTGGAGTTCTTGAGGTGGTTATGTAATAGTCTGGTAGCACCATCCTGGAATGTTTTTGGCAAGGCACCAAGTAACATGGTAAACTCGGGAGTGTTCAGTTCGAACAGAGAGATCAGGACTATTTGTGCTGCCTAGGAAGTAAAAAGAAGAGAATCAGCATCACAGCTATTTTTAAAATTTTTTGTTATGTCTTACTGGGACATATCTTATCATAATATCCAGACTGCAGTTAAATACATTTATTATACCCATAATATCATATATTTCAAATACACAACAGGGAAGTACTGCTGAGATCAATCCATTACAGTCAAAAATACACAAAGCAAAATGCTTTTCACATCTAATGAGATGCCCCTTGTTTCATTTTCAGAAGCTTGCAGATGAAGAATATAAAAACTACATACAGGAGTCCAACAAAGGATCCATCTAATTCATCATCCTGCATCAAACAACTTGCAATGTTTACAAATTCAAAGAGTTTCTCAAAAGAATATGTATCATACCATTCTTAAAAAAATAGATACAAATTGTGTTACACAGCTTTGAAAATTAAGTTATCCTGTTAACAAGCTGATTCCAGACCTCCATCCTGCACTTCATACTTCAACAGAACTGGGGATCCATGATTCATTAATAACATGCATTCATTTATGAACTTAAGTAACTTATCTTAACTGTTCAGTAAATCAATTTATTTTTATAAATTCATTAGCTATTCCAGTGCAAGTTGGTCTAAACCCTGTAGAAAATGCCACTAATGAAATGAAACTTACTCTCAATAAATGTGTGCATGTGTGCATGTGTGTGTTTGTGTATCTCTTTTGAGTCAGTGCTGACTCCTGGTGACTGTCTGGACTAGTCCCTGCAGTTTTCTTGGCAAGGTTTTTCAAAACTGGTTTGCCCTTGCCTCCTTCCTAGGGCTGAAAGAGAGTGACTGGCCCAAGTCACCCAGCTGGCTTTGTGCCTAAGGTGGGACTAGAACTCAGGGTCTCCTGGTTTCTAGCCAGGTGCCTTAACCACTACATCAAACTGGCTCTTAATAAATGTATACAGAACTGCATTATTAACCACTAATTTCAACTACTAACTCTTACTTATAATTTTTGTGCTTCTATATGTATATTTTTCAGTTGATAGCATTTGCCCAAAAAGAGATTATATATTTAATAAACTTTGGCAAGAAAATATCCTTGTCACCAAGAGGAATTACAGCTAAGTTTCATTCAGTTTCTGTGCCCTTTCTCGTAACACATGGCGTGAAGAAAATACCCATTACAGCTTGTTAGAGGCTAAACAGGCTGTGTGAAGTTTAATTGATCAATTATGACTGAAATTCAGCCTATGAACTATTATCCTTTCCACTAGAATAAGCACTGTTCCTTCAAAATTAAATATTATAATTAAAGAAGAAAATTATATATAGTTCCAGCTGGCCTCTCCCTCCTCAATCAGTGTACCTTCTAACTGGATGGGAAACCTGTTTGCGTAGAACTCAGAAGGTGAAAAATAAACCACATACGGTCACACTCATCCTGCCCTACAGAATTGTGGAACATTCATTAAAAGAACATTCTTTGAACAGAAAATATTGTTTCAAGTCAAAAGTTCAAGAAAAGAATGGATAACAAGATAAAGAAAAACAGAAAAATGTGCCAAGCTATAAGAACAATCAGAAAAATCATGCAGATCCAAGCGTGGGAATTTTAGTTTAGTTAGGGACATCTACATGCAAGTCAGTACAGCAACTGGGCAAAAGACCCAATTCTGAGTATCCAGTTCTATTTTGTAACTACCCAATTCAACTGGGTTCAATTTGGGCTATAGTGCAACCACTGTTCCTTTATACTTTTTTAGGTGCCTTAATGCTTCTTAAACTGATTCTGCCAGTTGCTATTACAATTTTGTTTTCCCTCAGAAGTTTTCCAAGAACATCTATTAAAATCCAAAAATGTATCAACAAAAGAGGTGACTGCAAATGACGTTCCTCAAATGCCAAAGGAAAAGGGCGTATACGCACTTTAGTATAACCCAAGTTGTCCTTTTGTATACATAAAGATCCTTTGCCTTTGTCTCCTGTAACAGGGAGGAGCTGTACTGAGCAAGAACCTGAAGGACATGCATGTTGCACGTTGATGGAGCAGCAGACGTGCAATATTGAATTGGAAGCTTTCAGTCAGCTTCTATTTGGATGTGAACTCATCAGACACTGCAACTACTTGCAGACCCCTCAGACAATAAAGTACCCATTTAATCTAATTCAAACCAAAGAGTGAAAGAAACACACATGAAGTTATTACACACCACTACATTTTTTAGAAAACCCTCCCTCCATCCATTTTCTCCACAAATCTAGCCTAGATTAGAACTCTGGACTGCAAACACAGACTAATGTCTTATGATTAGTGTATGCTACTTTTAGTCTACCTGTTTACACTTTTCTTCCAAGTTTCCTTCACCAGGACCTGACGAGGCTGCTGCTGGTCTAGCTGGCATATCCTCACCTACCCAACTATGCATGGTCTGAGTTCAACAAATAGGAAATGGAATATTATTTATTAGAAGCAAGCTCAAGATTTTCATTGACCACTGCAGAAACATTCATAATGTTTAGTTTCTTGCAAAAGTTGCATTTACAAAGCAGAGATGCTTTTCCAACATGAAGCTAATGTCACAAAAATTAAAGTGGCTGGTTGTCACTGAGATCTGTAACTCTTACTTTGTTCTGAATCTTACTTTAGTGCCATTTACATTTTGTAAATGTAAATGTTACATTTTTTCTTTTATTCATACAGCATTAAATAGCTGTATAGGTATTTTCCAGTTATTCATTTCCCTACTCAGCCTTTTTGAAAATGGATAAACAAAACTTATAGCCTGAGGGCCAGCCAGCTCTACCTCCAACACTGTACTTATGACACAGGTGCTACTGGAGAAATCCCCCCATTTAGGACAAATTCCTCAAGAAGGGGGGCCTCTCATATACATCATTATATCCAGAGATCCTCAATTCTAGAACCCTTGGATGAGGCATATAGAGTGCTTAATATTTATTTGTTTCCCTTTTGCCTCTTTATCGGAAAAGGAAAGAAGGAACGTGCCCGCAATCCCTCAAACCACTTTCCTTGGGAAGCTTTTTCTTTCTAACTCCAAAATGCAGTTTGAGGAACCCAGAGCATCAGGCAAAAGCTGTATTAATGTCAACAATAAGAATGTCTAAATGGGCAATCAGAAGTCAGTCCCGTCATTTTCACTACAGCCTGCTTCTAAACAGATATGGGCATATGGTTAAAGCCTGATGCCGTCAAGTAGCAGCAAATCTGCAAAGCAGCAAATTAGGAAGCCTTTCACTGCAATAGCACTAACAATGATGCACTGTATGCAAAAGTATTTTCTTTTGTCTCCCTTGTGCCTTCTGCTGAGCAACATTCAACCCATTTTGTAACCTATTCTTTGCAGAAATAAAAATTATTTTTAAAAATTACTATTGACTTGTGAACAAGATAACTTTCTAGATACTACTGAATGTTAAAATACTTGGCATGTTAAAATACCAAGGGGAATGTTTTAATTTTTGGGGGTTTGTGGTGATGAAAGTGGGCTCTTAATAGTCATTGGCATAATTGGTATTTGCCTAACAATGAGGAAAATACCTAGCTGTTTTATTTTTTAAAATATTTTTATACTGTTTTTCTATTTAACAAGCATTGGAAGCAGCTTTTGAGAGAACTCCTTGTTTTGGAACATGAATTAAAGACTTAGAGAAAAGGGCTTTTCCCATGCTAGCTAACCTCCCCCACTTAGAGACAATCAATTACGGTGGAAGGGGACAAAATTTGCCTCTCTCCTGGTTTACTTCTGTAAATGTTTCATCTGACCATTATTACTATCATAAGAGAAACATTAGTTTAAGAACCCAGTGAATACTGGTTGATAGCATGCAGCCCAAAGACCATACTTTTTGCCCTCCAGCATTAGATGAATAATAAATAATTTCTTATTATTTCTTCCACACCGTTAACGCTTCTGTAAACTTCTATCACCTTTACCTTGAAGTAAAAACAACACACATTTAAATCCTTTTAAAAATGTCATCTTGTTGACTGCTTGAGTTAATCCTATTCCATCTCCAGCTCTAAACTGCCTTTAAATATTAATTTTGAGCAATTTGGCTAAGAAGTAGGTTTATAAAGTATGGTCACAAGACAACTCCATCAGCAATATCACCGCAAGAACCACTGTATGCATCCATTCTGCATCATGGTTAGCACAAAATCAATTTGTACAAAGAAAGAATAGAAGAAGAGCATGTAAACCCCAATATTCATCATTTCTCTTTTATGTGCACTGAATATTATTAGTCATGTTGTTACATTGAAGAAACACTTCTGGAACTTCTCACTATCTACTTAATGATGCTTTGTTTTACTGTAAACAATTGTTAATGTTATGACTACTCTCAACAAATTTGATACAGTAGCTCTCATTCCAAAACGAATATCCAGAAGGCTATATAATTAATCCCGTCATTTAGTCTGCATGAATTATATGTTGTTGCCTTTACAAATGCCTTTGGACAGGGTTCATTTCATTTCTACCTATTTTTCTGATTAGCTTCATCTCTTGATTTTCAGTGGGCTTCTTATCATCTGTCTTCTCCTCTTGAACATCACAGGCTGATTTTTCTGATTACATAGTTTAACCTTGCTCTAACAAGAGTTTCCAAGGTGATACTCTTTCTGACATACATGGCAAAGACGGCACCTAATGGCAGAGCTGGGAATTTCATGGACCACATTAACATGAATGTTGATGGCAAGAAAACAAATTCAAAACTTGGTATTGTTAACTTTCGCTCACAAAGGAGATAGTAAGTAAACTGAAAAACTGATTGAGGTATATCATCACAGGTAACTGGTTTCTCTATTTATTGAGTATGTGTATATGTATATGTATATGTATATGTATATGTATGATCGTGGAAGGTCTGCTTTGATGAGGTACATGTTTTGCCTCACAGAGATTTATCGCACAGCGTCAGCACTGTGAACAACCCCACAGTCACTCAGTGCTCTACTTTAACAAAGAGTTGAGAAGGGCGATTAGCAGAAGCCACTGTTGCCAAGCAAAACGACGGCATGGATGTACCACTGAACAGAAGTGGAATGCTGCAGTGCTACCTGGTTTTAATGGAAGTGCTTTGAAGGGCATCATAATATCTGCACAGGCCTACTGCCGCCCCTTCCACAGAATTCTTACCTTGTTATATTTTAGGAACAGGAAAAGTTTCTCTTGGTCTCCAAAACCTTTTATCTATTTAAATCATGGGTTGGAACCTGTGGCCAGCAATTTCCTCCCCACCCTACCACTGCTTACCTGAAACCCTGCCTCCCACATTTTCTAGTAAAGTGTATGGATGGGGAGGGTACAGCAGGATGCATATGAATGCACAAATGGATGAACATGAAAGAAGTTTCCCTTTTGTCTGTGCTTGAAATGCCCTCTCTTGAAAGAATGATGTGCATACTTCAGCATTTGTACTTTCATGAGTGCATTTGCATGCACACCTGGAATACATGCAAAGTTTCAGAGAACAGAAGAATATCCTTGAATGATGAGGGAAAAGGGAAGGAAGAGAAAGAGAAACCAGTTGTGTCTTGTCCATGTTTTATTTCCAGCCAAAATCTACAGCATGATTTTGCCCGATTATTTTCCTGAACAAGGCCTTTGCTCCAAAAGGTTATCCATCTCTAATAATTTCATGTCATAGAATGAATCTTCCCTGAACTGAGTTCCACTCAAATGCTTTCACCAGCTGAAAAGGATGTGTGTGCTTTTCTCTGCACTATTCAGCATCCCCTTCCACACTATGCGAAAAATTGCCCAATGCTCCAGGAAAAAAAAAAAGGAAAAGGGATAACAAAGAAGGCTCCCGAGAGGGAAATCAACACAAATTGTTTTTTAGCTATTCCACTGAATAGCTAACAAACTGAAATGTTCGGCTGGAGCAAAAGGCTTCTGCCAAAGGAATGAATGTTTTCATCCAACAAAGCACATTCTGAATCCAACTGAACAAAACTATCTGTTTGATTTCATCACAATTCATCATAATGGCTTAAAATGAATTTACAAGAGTTCCACCAATTACCGCCTCCCATTGCTTTGACTCACCTTTCTCACATCTGAGCTCTTTGGTTCTGTTGTCCAGGTAATAATCCTAGAAACTGCAAGTTTTGCCTCGCTGGAGTTGACAAAATCTGTAGGATCCATCTGTCTAGCCAAGGATTCAATGTATTTCAGTATTGCCACTTTTACCTGAAGTGAGCAGAATACTTCTTGTAAATAAAGATAATACAACAAATTCTAAAGCTCAAAATCCTTTCTTTCTCGTACCTAATCCTTTCATGAACCACTGTTTGCTACAGAAATGCCATCTCTACATTTTCTGAAAACCCTTAAAATATAACCAAGGAATAAAAGTGTATTTGCCCTGGTTATCTATATTTAAGCATTATGCTTCACTGTACTCTCAGACGTAATCACTTCCCAATGAAACTGCAAGCACTGTAACCTACCTTAAGATTTGGTGTCTGGGTCTGATCTACAATAAATCTCATCAAAATATTAAACTGTTGATCAAATGGAAAAGAATCCCTACAGTGGAAAGGGAAAAAGGGAAGAGAGAGCATGAGAACAAATTCTATTACAAGTTCCAGGATTTAAATATAACCACTGTTTTGCCTTAGACACAGAAAAATTAAATATATAGCGGCTGCATGCCTCAGCCTAGGAGATAGAAAAAATTAATACAGCTCCAGTCTTTCCCCCAATGAAGGATGAAATAATTTTTCAAGCACTGCTACATACAACTATTACATACAACTATTACAATTATTAGTTATAATTAGTATTATAACTAATACTATTAAGTATTTTCATGCAAGCCCACCGCAAAGTAACCTCTGACGAACAGTACAGAATCAAAGCATAACAGCTGGAGGTGAAAAGTACTCAAGATTTAACAGAGCCATTTTTTTTTACTAAATCAGACCTTTTCAAATAGGTAAACCATATTTTTTTAAAAAGTCACTTAGAATTCCCATTCAAAATTAAACAAAAAGGTTCTTGCCAGAACTATACCAAGTCATATGAAAGCCTAGTCTGGATACTGAGCAAAACCACAGCATTATTCAAACGAGCTAGTCAACCTCCTGAATGCATATCTATGTTCTTAAGCTTATATTGCCACAAGGAGGACAGCTGAAGGATCCAAGTCTTAGTAAACCGAAGCAATCCAAGGGCAGAAACTATAGTTTGAACTTGGTTTACTTTAAAAACTTTACTTTTATCTGTTGAGGAAATGAATTCTTCCAATTTCCTTCAGTGCAGCTGTATCAGATGAGAGGCTCATGGTTGTGGCTTAAACAGACTCAATTTCTGAGACACTCAATTATAACTATGCTATTTGGAGATGATGAAAATTGCAATCCATCGTATCTGCAGGGCTCAAGGTTTGAGACAGCTGGTTTCGCATTATGTAAAAAACCAGGTTAGCAAGTTGTCCAGAGTTACTTGGCAGACACACTACCTTGTTACATCCAGAGCTTTCTGCACTTTTGCCTGCACTGATCCCAGCAGGTCAGCACCCATCTTCTTGAGTAACTGTGTCAGAAGAACGAAGAGCCAGTCTTGCAAATCATCCTTGTGAATAATAATGAAGTCTACCAAGGTTTCAAGGAACATGCTGAAAACCTTTAATTTAAGAGAGATAACAGGGGAAGTCATGATTTACAATACAAAAGCGATGAAACTGAAAGGCTACCAAAATCTGCTTTAATACGGATGATTTTGACAACCATGTTAACTGTGAAGTTCCAGGATATACTGGATGATTCATATTAAATAGATAAAAGAGGTGATATTAGGAGGTAGAGGAAGGAGGAAGGAAAATACACTTACTCTCTGTTGTGAATTCCACCGCAAAACAGGCCATGCAACAAAACAAACCATTCATTAGTAAACTGATATAAAGAATCAAAGCAAACTGCTTTAAGGCAGTTTCCCTTGCACGCAGATAAATTGCATTCACAGAAAGTTTAAGATAACTTTATGAAAGAATATTTTTATAATACACAAGGTCAACTGTTTAGGTCTTGAGGCAATAAACATTTTTGAAACAATCCATCTTATTACATTTAAAAGAAATGTTCTGCTCTAGAATAATACCCTATTTGTATCACTCACTTATGGAATTTAAAAATATCCCAGTAATTTACCACAGATAACTGCAAAGACTGAACAATTATTTAGCACAAAAATTGAAATATTATGATTTTCATTTCAATTAAATCGTTTATTTATAATCCAACCTCACAACATTTAGGGATTCTTCATAAAAGATAGATGTATTCAAAATGTTACCTTGCTGTGGGGGTCTGCAAACATACGTGTGAAGATTTCACATAGCCTTTTCAACTCAACTCGGCTAAACCCAAACAAAACAAAATAAGATTATTGTAGAACAAACATTAGATATGGGAAAATATAGCAAGGAAAATTTATATACAAACCTCATCATTATTTTCAAACCAATAAATGAGTCTGGATGAGGAAACTCCATTCTGATCACAACAGATGAGAGGACTCCAAGGTTAAGAGACTATACTTTAGCCTTCTAAAATTTGTGATATATCTAAATGAATCCCCTCTCACCTCTCAACAAACAGACACAAAACAAGTAATTTCAGCTCCCTTGGATGCTCTGATTTAGACCTCAATATTGCCCTGAAGCAAGAAAATTGTAAGTTCTAGTTTCATTAGGAACAACAGAACTGGAATTCATTGAGTGTTTTACACCTTTTCTCATAAAAGTCTTCTCATTAAACTGTTTATGTTATATGTCAAAAATCATCAATATGCCGTTATCAGCTTGTTTCTAAACTAAGGGCACACCAGGGAAGTTTGGGCACTGTTACATAATTCTCTATACACAGTTTTTAATATATACATTGGGAAGGTTATTATCTACAGATATGTTGGGCTTCCTTTAACCCAGTAACATTTTCATTCAGATGGCCTGAATCAGGATAGACAATCATTTTGCCCTCTTATTTATTTTTGATTACTGAGGGATGCAAATGAGATCTCCAGAGGGGATGGTGCAAAAAAAATCAAATTCTTTTCCCTTTCTCTGGTATTTCAGTGCAAAATAAATATGTTTAGCAGCATGATGTCTGTCTCTCTGTGTCTATTTGTGGTATGTTTCTGGACTGAAAAAATAATGATGCCAACCATAGGTTGCTCAATTCTGTATTTAATAAAGAGGACAGAAGTACAGCATTAAAAAGTATGCTCTAAGTCACAATTCAACTTCTTCAAAATTCTCTTCTTCATCCAAGGTGAAGAGGTGAAAAGACCCCTAAATATACTCCCATTAATCATATGAGCATCTTTGAACACATATCTATCACTAGGTAGAAAAGCTATTCTACAGTGATATTAATTCCCATTGTTCATCATAATTATAACTTAGATTGAATTCAAAAATAATAATGGGTGACAATAATAAAGAACACAATCCCATCATTAAAATGTTGGCTACCTTAAAATATGCCATACCATTAAGATATTAAAAAAAATAGATGAATTAGAGGAAGCAGCATAAATATTTCATAATTTATGGGACTCTTATAAAGACTTGATAAAGAACAGATTCAAAATATACTGTTACTGATTATATACATACTCACCTTAATGTCCTTTGGCTCTTCAATAAGTTTTGCAAGCCAATTAGCCCCTCCTTCCTTTCAGACCAGTTGGAACTAGCACAGTGGTTTAAGACTTCAGCTACATCTTCTGTTTGTCGCAGGTAGTGTGGGATACCTCCATTGCGAGAACCATAGGAGCGCTCTGAGCAAGCACTTGATGCATCACTGTTTGCATCATCATCAGAATACATCCCATATGGTTCATACCTTCTCCTCACTGGTTTCTTCTGGTGGGAGGGTGAAATAAATCCTGGATTTAGTAGGTTCTGAATGATTTCACTAAAATACTACAAGTCTGGTATAGAGCCATAAAAGAATTTCAATTTCAGGCATCACTGACAAGTGATGGAGAAAGTTACCCAATAAAAGGACAAAACAGATGAGCAGATCTAACAAATGAAGCTTAATGAAAGATCAAATTGCTATTTGAAAATAGCTACTTTAAAGCATATGTCTGCAAATGTTACTTGGATTGAGGTGGGCGGCTATAGAAATTGCATAAATTACTCTGATCATTCTGATCATGTTAAATTACTGTTCATTCTGAACAAAAATCTACATGAGTATGGGGGAAAGATGCCCACATCCTCTGCTGGAGATAGGACTGAAAGGACTGCAGCACTAGGGTGATTGAAACTTATAGCCTAGGATCAGTTGACATGACTGGTGTAGAAGAGTCTGGTGATACCAGTTTAGGCTTAAGACTTTGAAACTCTCAATAATTAGATATGTAAGTATGATTTAGGCTATCCTTAGTATGCATGCAATAAACTTGGGCTGCTCTGAAAAGTCGTACTTATTTATGTATATTGTTCCTGATGCATAAGTCAACGACTTTGGAATACTCAATACACTTTGAAAGGTATATTGCTAAGGTTAACTTTATATGGCAGCTGCTATTGGTACTTTGGGATTCCATTTTAGAAGCAAATATTTTATCTTCACTATTGAAGAGAAAAGCCTGGAAACAGGTGGCCAGAGTAAAACCCAGAAGTATTGTGGTGCTGGGCAGGTTTTAAGTGATGAGGGACTATGCAAAATCTTCAAAAGAGGTGCTTCACAACATGCAAGAGCATAGTTGAAGCTCCTCTTTTCAAATCAGTAAAACAGCGATCACTTTTTTCAGGATCACACAACTGCTTGGCAAGGTTGTTCGCAGCTGTCTTGAATGCACAGCCACTTTGCTTCAATACTTGCTCCCACCTGTTAGGCAGCTCCTTCCTTGAAGGCTTTGCACAGTCCTAATGAGAACATGAGTCTTATTGTTTAATAAAGCCCTTAAATATTCTTCCATGGCTACCATTTCTTCATCATGGAAAATAAATTAACGTCCTAAGCCTATTTCCATATCTTTTCCATCCTCCACACAACTGCACTTCTGTATAATTTTCAGAAAGTCTATATGGTTAGTTTATGGCAGTATTTGTGTTTTCTTGGCTTCACAGATATACATATATACTAAATATGTTGAAGGTACTATCTGCAGTTTGATAGGATTCCAGGCTTGGACAAAAAGATAACAAAATAATTATAGCCCTATATAATACTGTAACAGGGAAAGCAAAAAATGGGAGGGAGGGAGG